ACCCTTACAAAATAATATATTGCCCCCCCTAGCAAAAGTCCTAGTTGAGCCTCTGATTAACTAACCAATAAATTAAATAATTCTGTAATTAATTTATTTATTATCTGATTAAACTACTGATCAATGACATTGAAAGAATGTTTAAAATGTCGTTTTCAGATTCTACTGATAATGGAATGCTACAGATATTTAATTTGAATAATTATATGGAGATCTTTAAATCTGTTCCCGCATATTTCATGGCTAAAAATTTATTTTTACAATTTTTAAGGTAAAATATTTTAGTTAAATACAAGAGGTAAATATGATTTAATAAGTTTCACTTTGTAACAACATTAAATACACTCAAGTATTGTAATAATGTCGTCTTCTTATTTCACAGTTTTCTGCTTCTCACTTAACATGATGCAAGAAACATCGAGATAGCCTGGGGGGGGGGGGGTGATATAGGCTATGAAAAATTCATTGTTTCTTGCTTTCAATTTTATTTTTTTATTGGAATCACCGGGCATTACAAATACAGTTAAACCCTAATTATTAAATACATCAAAAGAATTCATCAAATGTAGTATTCTTCACTTTCTGGAATGGATTGCACATTGCGTTTCTGTCGTATATAGATGAATTCTTACTACCCTACTAACTCGAAAACCTTGAAATATATACCAAAATATTTTTACGAATAAATACGTATGCTCAACTTTTGGGTAAAGAACTTATGTATAATTACGTATTTTTACGTATTTATCATGCCAAGAAATTTTTTTAATGCTTTGGTTTTCCAGTAACGTATTTATACAAATTTTTTAGGTTTTTTCTTTACTTAAAATTGTATTTTTTTAGAGTTTAAAAGTTTGATGCAAACCTAAAAATACGTATGATATCGTAAATTTCATGCAGAGAAATTTTTCAAAGTTTTTAGGATTTTTATTTTCCGTATTTTTAACGTATTTTTTAGGTTTTTTCTTTATTAATAAAATTGCATTTTTTTAGAGTTTAAAAGTTTGATGCAAACCTAAAAATACGTATATTTTTGTAAATTTCATATCAAGAAACGTTTCAAAGTTTTTAGGTTTTTATTTTACGTATTTTTACTATTTTTTAGGGTTTTTCTTTCCTTAAAAAATTGTATTTTTTTTTTAGTTTAAAAGTTTGATAGAAACATAAAAATATGTATATTTTCGTAAATTTCATACCAAGAAATTTTTCAAAGTTTTTAGGTTTTTATTTTACTAATTTTATGTATTTTTATAGGGTTTTACTTTACTTAAAAAATTGTATTTTTTTAAGAATTTAAAAGTTTGATGCAAACTTAAAAATATGTATATTTTCGTAAATTTTATAACAAGTAATATCTCAAAGTTTTAAAGTTTTTATTTTACGTCTTTTTACGTATTTTTTAGGTGTTATCTTTATTTAAAATTTTAAATTTCATACCAAGACATGTTTCAAAGTTTTTAGGTTTTTATTTTACGTATTTTCATTTTACGTATTTTTTCCAAAATTTAAAAAATGTTAGGATTTCTTTTTTTTACGTTTGTCAAATATGTATTTTACAAAAGAAATGGTTACGAAAATGCATATGTCATACTGATTTTTATGTATTCCTAAACCTAAAAATACGCATATATACATATGTCATACGTATTTTTAAATTTTCGGGTTTGTAGGGTATTAAAGGATGATGTTGAAAGATAAAAGACGATATTTAAGATTAACTTCTTAAATTTTATTATGCATACTGAAGATTTTATTATGCATACTGAAGATTTTATTACGCATACTGAAAATTTTATTAGGCTAACTGAAGATTTTATTACTTATACTGAAAATTTTATTAGGCTAACTGAAGATTTGATTACGCATACTGAAGATTTTATTATGCATATTGAAGATTTTACTATGCATAATGAAGATTTTATTACGCATACTGAAAATTTTATTAGGCATACTGAAGATTTTATTTTGCATACTTAAGATTTTATTATGCATGCTGAAGATTTTTTTTATGCATACCGAAGATTTTATTAGGCATACTGAAGATTTTATTAGGCCTACTGAAGATTTTATTATGCATACTGAAGATTTTATTATGCAAACTGAAGATTTTATTACCCATACTGAAGATTTTATTATCGAAGATTTTATTACGCTTACTGAAGATTTTATTACACATACAGAAGATTTTATTACGCATACTGAAGATTTTATTATGCATACTGAAGATTTTATTACGCATACTGAAGATTTTATTACACATACATAAGATTTTATTACGCATACTGAAGATTTTAATACGCATACTGAAGGTTTTATTCCGCATACTGAAGATTTTACTACGCATACTGAAGATTTTATTATGCATACTGAAGATTTTATTATGCATACTGAAGATTTTATTACACATACAGAAGATTTTATTACGCATACTGAAGATTTTATTATGCATACTGAAGATTTTATTATGCATACTGAAGATTTTACTACGCATTCTGAAGATTTTATTACACATAAAGAAGATTTTATTACGCATACTGAAGATTTTACTACGCATACTGAAGGTTTTATTACGCATACTGAAGATTTAACTACGTTTACTGAAGATTTTATTATGCATACTGAAGATTTTATTATGCATACTGAAGATTTTATTATGCATACTGAAGATTTTATTACGCATACTGAAGATTTTAGTACACATACAGAAGATTTTATTACACATACAGAAGATTTTGTACACATACAGAAGATTTTATTACGCATACTGAAGATTTTATTACACATACTGAAGATTTTATTACGCATAATGAAGATTTTATTCCACATGCAGAAGATTTTACTACGCATACTGTAGATTTTACTACGCATTCTGAAGATTTTACTCTGCATTCTGAAGATTTTACTACGCATTCCGAAGATTTTATTACGCATACTGAAGATTTTATTACGCATACTGAAGATTTTATTACGCATACTGAGCTGAAAACTTTCGAATATAGTGGATATAAAGATTAATGTTTAAATTCCTGGTTTTTCTAAACTGAAGATTATTTTAAAAGGCATTTAGTATCCAAGAAAGAAGTTAAAAATTCAACCAATCAGCGTATTATGTTAAGATGTACTCTTTAACTTTTGAAAACCCGGTTTTGATTTCTGGTGTTGATGGTGTCATCATATTAATTAAACTAAACATCGATTGAACGAACGTAAGTTTTGGATTAATGTTTATTAAGACTATAACGTTCACAATGACAATAGTCCTAAAACATGTTTTTTAATAACTTCATATAAATTCATGATTAAACTTTTATTTGTTTAAATGCTCTAAAAGCCGGCCAGTGAACAACTGACTTTAATTTACTTGGATATTAGTCCAATCGATACAGCATTGTATCTGTAATTGTTATCAAACGTAACTTGTATATCGTAGAAATATCTAAAAAGAGGATTAAGAAGAAAATCAAAAGTGTGTACATTGGTATAATCAGAATAAGCGCTCGTGACTAGGGATATCTCAGTCTAGTCCCTGTACGGCGGGTGGTAATAAGGCAAAAATAATGCGAAAATTCTGGAAATTAAAATTTTGTCTGAAAATATTAATATGTTATATTGTCAAAATTATGCCATTTTCCCGAAAAGAAAAAAACGATTAGATCAAATTAGTTCAATATAATTTAGGCTATAGTTTAACTTTCTAGTTAAATCTATAGTTATTTATGGAAAAGTAAGCGTATTTTATTTTAGCAAACCCCCTCCCCCTGTTTCCCTACCATATATGAATTGTAATTTTTGGTCGACCGGAGAAATCTTTTGAAATAAACTCCATATAGCGGTCAAAATTTTGATGGGTTAGCTTGACGAATGCCGGCGACCTGACTTTATTAGTAGTAATAAGGCAAAAATAATTTGAAATTTCTTGGCCAGTAGTATTAAAATTAAAAAATTAAATAAAACATAAATAAATAATAGGGTCTGTCCTAAAGAACGATTATTGGGTCTCCTTATATCAAAATAGGTATTATTTATTTCAGGCTTAGATTAGATGAAGATAATGTGTGCGCCAAGCGCTGCGGATAGGACAAGCTAGGTGACCGAGCGCTGCAAAGGAGGGGGAAGTTCTCAAAAAGTTCTCTAGGAATTTACCAAATTAAAACACAGAATTTATTTGAAAGATTAATTAATTTATCTTTGTTTGCTACATTTTTGAGGTTTAGAGGACATTACGCAAAAAATATGAATTCTCTCAATCTACGAGCTCTACAGTAACAATAGCTAGCTTAAAATACTAGGGCAGCAGCTCACGGTTTCATTGTGGATTTTGGAAGATTTTGAAAGATTTGAAAAAGAAGGAAAACAGCAAGAAAGTCTTGCACTTGTCAAAACTATAAAACGGTCCTCCATCAGTCCTGAAACTACCATATCTTCCGAAAATCTTCGTGAATAATAAAAAAATTTGCATTCCCCATTTTATTTTATTGTTTGCAATTTAGAAAAAATTATGTTTTTTTACGAAAACAAATTAAAATTTTAAGTTTAATAAAGAACCCTGAAATCAACCTTGATCATCGATTTAAAAAAAAATATTTATCAAATGTCTTTTTAAAATGTTGTACAGATACGACAGATACAGATGTGTTGATACAGATACACAGATAAGACGAAAACGTTTGTATTCTTTGTTTTAAAGTCAAAAACTTTTATCTTTATCTTTATACATGCTCAATTTAAACTCATTAACCAAGATTGTTTTTGCCACATTTGTATATAGTTGATTTTTCATAATATGTTTTGATTTTATTTTTAAAAATAATATTTAGCTTACAACTTGTTTTCGAACATTCCTGTAAAATATAAGAATATCGTCTTCATTACCAAAAATCCTCGAAACAGGAATAAATGATTTTATAAGTAACTCTTAGATCATAACAATTAAAACATATTATGAAAAATCAACTATATATAAATGTGGCGAAAGATAATCGATGACTATAGGTTGTAATATCTGAATGATTTGTTTGAAATTAAATAGATTTTTTTACGTCGTATGTTGCATCTTTCTGAATTTGTATGGACACTACGTTCTTCGGTATTAGTAGTTTTTAACAATTTTCTCCTTATAGACGCAACAGATAGAAGTAAGATTAGTAGCGATCAAAATCGCCTTTTTATCGCATTAAGTCTATACCCCCTTTCATATTTCGCGAACACTCCCTTTAAGTCTCAATTATGACTTTAAATATATCAATGAACAGTAATCACATCAATTGTGCAGTGTGCACAGACCCATTTCACGTAATTTTTAAGCTTTTGGTAAAAATATATGAAAAAGAAAATGTTGTCTTAATTTTCCACAGTTTTAAAGGTCTCACTGTAGTTAATTTAAAACATCTCTAGTAACATTATTTGATAGTTAAATGAAAATTTTTGTCATTTTTTCATTTAATGATAGCAGAATATATGAATGATTTAGTTAGGCTTTAAATGCACTGTATATTTTATTTTGTACTTGCACTGTCCAAATCTCAGAGAATATTGAGTTGGTACATTTGGATTTGGATTTGGAAGTACAAAATTTAGTATCCAGTGTACATTTTTAGGCTTAATCAATAGTTTATTAAAGAGGTTTATTTATGGTCGCAATAAGGTTCCCTGAAGTTTATATATGGTTGATATTGAGTCACACAACAGGTTATGCACGTAGCTGACATGTCGATTCAATGTCATATTTGGTTATTTCAAGGTTGAAAATTTAAAAGGTTGTACAATTTCAAGAATGACGTTATATGACAACGTTGAGAATGATGTCAATACTCAATACGACGTTTTCTAGTGCGACATTGTAACAACGACACAAATAGTGAAACACTGTAACAACGCCACAAATGTTGCAACCTTGTAACGACGCCACAAATAGTCCAAAGTTGTAACAACGCCACAAATAGTGTGATCTCACATCGATAAGAGGTTAAACATGATAATATACCACGTTATATCTGCTTGTCAAGGTTGCAAAGGCAATGTGAGTTCAACGTTTTGTCGAGATGTGATCTGCATCTGGTTCACTTGGTTTTGGGAAAAAATCAAAAGATAATTTTTTATTTTTATATTAATGTCATTCATACAACTAGAACAGATTTCATAACAATGATTTTGACTTTTAATTTACAAAATGCAATGTTTGAATGGCATCGTTGCAATTAATGCCCTTAAAATTTGTTGCTATTTTACATAACGAAATAAATGTTTTAAAATTGTTTAATAATTGCAGCATACATATTGAAGTATTGAAAAAGATATTTCTAAAAATAAGATTAAAAAAAGATTTACGTACCAATAATGTTTCTAATAACTTTCCGCATTTTGCTAATAAGCGTTTTGATACTTTAACTTTAAACGTTGTTACTAAATTCTGCAAATGATGTATTTAAATTATAATATCTAAAATATTTACCAATGCCAACTTTATTATTGTGCACTGTACTTTGAGTTTTATTTCCAATTAATTCTCTCTTAACTTGCATGTTATTGAAGCTATAGCGCCTGCCACGTGGTCCCTGCGCATAACCGCCATGGGGTCCCTGCGTATTATGTTGAATTCCCCGTAATTGTCCAAACATGGTTCTTGTATTGCGTACTTTTCTCTTTGGACAGCTGTATGCACTAGTTTTCACATAAATATCTTTAATGGTAGCTAAATCTTTAGACTAATTTGACCTAATTAATTGAAACCATGGCCTTCAGAAACGATGGAGAAATGAAGGTTTCAAAAAAACAAGCCACTCTATAAATGGAGGGTCGCTTAAAATAATGCATTTATTCCATTTAAGTATACTTAAATCAAATGAAAAAAAATATTTAAAAATTTCACTTTTGCCCTTATCTAAAAAAGTTTCATTAAAAAAGTTTCATTAAAAAGCTTAAATCAACAGTGCCTTCAGTGTAAAAATAGACTGTTCCTGACTAAGATTACCAAGAAAGTAACTTAACAGAACGTGGATGGAACGATTGGAAAACAAATGAATGAGGATGGAACGATCTAGCTGAAGGCCCTCGTTGTAAAGCGAAATGGACAATTTCAAAATAGTTAAAGCATGCCCAGTCCTACTAGGGACATAAGTTTTCCATATATATAGTTTATCTAGGTAACTAACACAACTAATTGCTTTTTTAATTGTTAAAAATGCAGAAATATTAAAATTGTAGTATTTTATTTATCAACAAATAAATACTTGAATATATCCCTCCGAAAGCTAACCAGAACTAGATGGGATAAGGGACAACTTTTTTTTATAGAAAGGTTTTGCTGTTAATTTAAATAGGTTTTTAATAACCATCTGCAGAACAAAATATAAAACCTGTATCTATAATTTTATGTTAATAAGGTGAAGATATGACGATAGATAAATATATTCCTGTTGATAAGTAGTAAATCATATGGGGAAAGAGAAATGTTGGGCTTCGATAGATTGCAGGTGCTAGGGTTCTTTGGAGTCATGGAGGGACCCTAAATATCATGTTTACATTAATGATTCAATCAATCGGATTATAAGATTATAACGCGGCATTTTTTTCCACGCACTACCTTTGAAACTATTAGAGGCAATTTTACTACCTTTCCTCTAGAAAAGGCCAGATCTGAGTAGTGTAGAATAGAATTGCAGTCATAGGGAACATTCTTAAAAATATTTCTATTTCCTCCGTTAGTTCTTTGTTGCAGTTTTTGTTTCTGTTTCTGGTCCAAATAGAATTTCTGTTCCTTGTCTTGTTCCTGTTCTCGGTCTAGTTCCTGTTCTAGGTCTAGTTCCTGTTCTAGGTCTAGTTCCTGTTCTAGGTCTAGTTCCTTTTCTAGGTCTAGTTCCTGTTCTTATTAGAGAAAAGACTAGAAGAACTGGAAGAAGATTTGGTTGAGAGAGGATACAGGAGAAGATCATTAAATCTTCCTTCATGGATGTGAGGAAGATAAAAAGAGAGCAGGCACTGAAGAAGGTTGTGAGTAGCAGGGTAGAGAATGATAGAACCAGGTTTATTGTCAAATATGACCCTAGACTGCCTAGGTTCTCTGAAACTCTAAGATCATCCTGGAAGACTCTAATAGAAGATCCAGTAATGAAGAAAATCTACCCCTCTCCTCCTATGGTATGCTACCAGAGAGTGGAGAATTTGAAGGATCTCTTGGTTAAGTCTAAACTTCCAAGTAGACAGGGATTCACAAGGGAAAAAAAGATAAGGTTGGGTTTAAACCCTGTAATAAATCTCGCTGCCCTGTATGTGAACAGATGGGAAAGAATTCTGTTGAAGAGGTGATAATCTCGGCTACTGGAGAAAAGATGAGGATTAAGGATAAGCTGACCTGCTCCTCCTCAAATATTATATACATGATTACATGTAGGAGAGGAGGCCGAGTTTGTCCTTCCCATCCTCAATATATAGGAGAGACAGGGAAGGAGGCTAAAGAAAGGCTGAGGGGTCACAGAGGCACCATTACACAGCTAGGACAAGAAAATACCCAGGCTCCTGTAGGTGTACACTTTCGTGCCCCTGGCCACTCCTATGCAGATTTATCCTTCATTCCAATAGAGAAGATCAGGTCCAGGGATAGCATGGTCAGGAAGGTCAGGGAGTCATACTACATCCAGAAATTTAACTCAGTGAGGTCAGGACTGAACAAGAAAACATAATGCTAATTGCAATATTTTTTAAAAAAAATTAATTTTGTTTGTTTTAAACTGTATGTATATGTATTACCAACAGTACCTTATAGTGTTGATCGAATTCATGTATTTGACCGTTTTGTCGACGAATTCTAACCCCTTCAACACCCCCCCCCCTTCCCCCACTGCATACGCCCATAAACTAGTCAATCCTTTTCCAGTCATTTAAATACACTTCAAAAGAGTAAGGTTCGGTTTTCTAATTTTTCTTTTAAGTTTTATGTGTTTTGACAATATTCATTTTGAAAAATTCCATTTTACATAAAAATATTTTTATTTTTGTTCTCTTCTTTGTTTATTTTAGTTGCTGTGCTTGTATTTTTTATTTTTATTTTTTATTTTTTGCTTATATCTGTTATATTATAGGACAAACTCCTGATGATGCCAAAGTTTTTGGCGAAATATATTGAGAAGAAAATGATATAATTCTAGTGCTAGAGAGTAGGGTTGGGATTTGTTTAAAAACGATCTAAAGTGTTCTTAACCTAGTTCCTGTTCTTAACCTAGTTCCTGTTCTTAACCTAGTTCCTGTTTTAGGTTTAGTTCCTGTTCTAGGTCAAGTTCATTTTCTGTTCATGTTCCTATTCTGTTCCTGTTCCTGTTCGTTTCCTGTTCCTGTTCCTGTTCTGTAAATGTTCCTGTAAATGTCCATCTTCCTGTTATGTTCATGTTCATGTAAATGTTCATGTTCTGTTAAATGTTCATGTTCTGTTCATGTTCATCTTCTGTTCATGTTCCCTGTTCTGTTCATGTTCCTGTTCTGTTCATGTTCCTGTTCTGTTCATGTTCCTGTTTATGTTTGTGTTCCTGTTTATGCTCATGTTCCTGTTTATGTTCATTTAATTTTCATGTTCATGTTCATGTTCATGTTCATGTTCATGTTCATGTTCATGTTCATGTTCTGTACATGTTCCTGTTCTTTTCATGTTCGTGTTCTGTTCGTGTTCTGTTCATGTTCCTGTTCTGTTCATGTTCCTGTTTATGTTCATGTTCCTGTTTATGTTCATGTTCATTTTCATGTATGTTCTGTTAATGTTCCTGTTCCTGTTTTGTTCATGTTCTGTTCTGTTCAAATATATGTAAACTTACATTAGGTAAATAGAATGGATCCCAACTAAAGCTGTTCCATTTAGAAATCTAAAAGAAAATTTGTTCGTTTATAGAGTCTGCTTGATTCACCCAGTTGGTAATGTACGTTAGGTTGGTTCATTTTTGATTATTTTTTGGTTTGTATTTGATTCGTTTTTTTGCGTATATTTTCTGTCTAGGGTAAAGCTTTAGCATAATTGGAATAAGTCCGAATTTTTTCAACATTGTTTATTTTATGTATTTTATCTAATAAGTGCTACATCAAATGTTTACCCTGACAGAAAATATATGCAAAACAAACAAACAAACAAAACGATCCTTAAACGATCCTTAAACGATCCATGACCGATCAAACAGTCCAAAATTGAACGTTTTATATCGATCGCTTTTGGATTGTTGTTTTATATTATTTCTCTTTTGGACTAAAAATATTGCAAAGCAAGCTTTATCAGAACGCAGCTAGGAATCTTTGAAGCTTTAATATAATTTTCTTTTCTAAAAGTTTAGTTATGTAAAATTATGTACAATTTTGACAAGAAATAATATATAGGTATCTACCTCTATATTAAGGAAATGTACATATTATATGTATTTATCTAGGTATCTACCTCTATATTGAGGAAATGTACATTAATGTATTTATCTAGGTATCTACCTCTATATTGAGGAAATGTACATAAATGTATTAATCTAGGTATCTATCTCTATATTGAGGAAATGTACATAAATGTATTTATCTAGGTATCTACCTCTATATAGAGGAATTGTACATTGATGTATTTATCTATATACTACCTCTATATTGAGGAAATGTACATTTATGTATTTAACTAGGTATCTACCTCTATATTGAGGAAATGTACATATATGTATTTATCTAGGTATCTACCTCTATATTGAGGAAATGTACATATTATATGTATTTATCTAGGTATCTACCTCTATATTTAGGATATGTACATTAATGTATTTATCTAGGTATCTACCTCTATATTGAGGAAATGTACATTAATGTATTTATCTAAGTATCTACCTCTATATAGAGGAATTGTACATTGATGTATTTATCTATGTATCTACCCCTATATTGAGGAAATGTACATTAATGTATTTATCTAGGCATCTACCTCTATATTGAGAAAATGTACATTAATATATTTATGTAGGTATCTACCTCTATATTGAGGAAATGTACATAAATGTATTAATCTAGGTATCTACCTCTATATTGAGGAAATGTACATGAATGTATTTATCTAGGTATCTACCTCTATATTAAGGAATTGTACATTGTATTTATATCTTGGTATCTACCTATATATTGAGGAAATGTACATTAATGTATTTATCTAGGTATCTACCTCTATATTAAGGAAATGTACATTAATGTATTTATCTTGGTATCTACCTCTATATTGAGGAAATGTAAATAAATATATTTATCTAGGTATCTACCTCTATATTAAGGAAATTTACATTAATGTATTTATCTAGGTATCTACCTCTATATTAAGGAAATGTACATTAATGTATTTATCTTGGTATCTACCTCTTTATTGAAGAAATGTAAATAAATATATTTATCTAGGTATCTACCTCTATATTAAGGAAATTTACATTAATGTTTTTATCTAGGTATCTACCTCTATATTGAGGAAATGTACATAAATGTATTAATCTAGGTATCTACCTCTATATTGAGGAAATGTACATTAATGTATTTATCTCTGTCACTTCTCTGATGTGTGTGAGGGAAGCCCAGGGTGTGCAGCAATTCATGCAGAATTAAACCAATAGACCTAAAAACCAAGAAATTGCATATTTCCGGCCTTTAATACATCATTAAAATGAAAATAAAAAATTAATATGATGAATAAGATTATATTTACTTGTGATCATAGGGATTAAGACATGACCCTGAGACGACTAATCGACCACCTAAATTAAACACAAGTTTCTTAATAATTTTCTATTTCCTGGTTTCATTCTGCAAACGGAAAAATTCATGTTTCAATTCTGTAAACCGGAAAAATTTTAATTTAGAAGATAAGGATAGCAAAGATAAAATGGGTCAGTAACATTTCGTCTAGTACACTTTCGTCTAAGTTCACTTTCGTCTAGATCATTTTCGTCTAGTTCTTTTTTGTCTAGTAACCTTTGGTCTAAGTAACATTTGGTCTAAGTAACTTTTGGTCTAAGTAACATTTCGTCTAAGTAACTTTTGGTCTATGAACAAAATAAATGAATAAAATGTTTTTTAGTTTTACATAGGTAGTTAAAAAGAAAATTTACATGATTCTTTGTTGTTGTTGTTGTTTACCATTGACCAATAGTAGCGTATGAATGAATATGGGAGTGATATAGTACTTTTGACAACCATTTTTTATGGGGCAAGGTTCACATTCTACAGAAGATTGTTACATCTTTCTATAGACGCACTACTTCACGGAACCATCTCATTTAGACAGTTTAGTTTTAAACCAAATTCCTTACTAAAGATTACTTATACCAAAAGTTACTTGAACAAAATGTTACTTACTCCTTTCTTCAAGTTACTTAAACCAATTCTGTAGTTTTAGACCAATTTACTTACTAAAAGTTACTTAGACCAAATATTACTTAGACCAAATGTTACTTAGACCAAATGTTACTTAGACCAAATGTTACTAGACCAAATGTTATTAGACAAAAGTGTACTAGACGAAATGTTACTGAGCCAATTAAAAGTATATAAAGGAAAAAGATTTAAATGTATAGCTTTGCCTGGTAGAGGTCCAACATTAGCATAGGCTCTGGGAGATCCACATCTGAAGAAAACAAAATGTAATTCATTTTTTCTAGTTTTAAAGGGACTTTTTACGTAATTTAACGACAGGGTCCTTTAAACCTTTAACCTATCCCTATTTAATTTTGGTTCTCTAAAAAAGGGATTTATGTAGATTGTAGAAAAACAAGGATGAAAATTGACAGAAGACCGAAATTCTTTCTCAATTTTACACAGATTAATCCAAAGAGAATAGAATATATATTAGAGTGGAATTTAGACAATCCCTCGGTATGAATTTTGTCAGTCTCTTTCAGCCTGAAAGGGAGTTTAAAAAACATGCAAATGTTCACAAATTATATGCAGTAGAGTACATTAATACAGTATGTTTCCTAGACTATCCATTTCAATTTCGATTTTTTTAAAGCTGTTAAATAAACTTATAAAATGAATTAGGTGAATGAAAAACATCATTTGATTTATAGTTACAACGGAAAATCATCGTTTGTTAAGTGAAAGAAATAGAGTCTATGTGAAATGATCATTGGTCAAGTATGAAACCTGCCTATTTCATAATTTGGTTTTCTTCCAGGGCCCAAAAGGTTATATAGCGCAAATATGCGAAGTTCACATGCAGTATGGAAACAGTACAACAAAATTTCCGTTTTACACTTTTTTCTACTAAATTCCACTCTGATATATATTCTATTCTCTTTGGATAAAACTTTAAAGGGTACCATTGTTAACCAGGCATGCATCCCTCAAACTTGAGAGTCACTTGGATTTACTTCAACAGTCCCTTTAAGAATAATCCCTACCTGGTTCCCAACTTATCACAAGGGCATTCTCTCTCCACGTTGACCCAAAGCTGATCTCTCCCAGCTACATACGGTTCAAACCTAACAAAGTTATCAATCAATACATTAGGGCCCGAAGACCTGAAAAATGATTCAATTAAGCTGGTCTGTATTTGATGTTGTTAAAAATGAAAAAGCTTTAACAGTAGCTTGAAAATTTACTGAAATGGCTGTTTAAACATAACACAATTTACCTGTATTATAATATTTCTTTAATACCATCATTTAGTCTCATCATAAACCTCAGATTTATTTGGATCTAATTTCTTGTAATACTAAAGGTTTACTTGCTCCGCTAACATTTACAACATTCGTGTTATAATATGTTATAGTGACCCTCAATGCAAAGGTAACAATGCCCGATTTACAACGGTACCCTGAAAAGCTTTGTCTTATAAATTTAAATATCCATGATTTTGTTCATTTAAACTGTTTATTTTTATTTGCGGTTTCTCTGTAAAAGGTTACTTGAGGAAGCCCTGATCAAATGTCAGAAATACTAAAGAAATTAAAATAAACACCTCCTTTTAGAGTCAGAAAAACGACTCTATCTTTCACATTTTTGACCAGGGTAAGGTTTGTAAATTGAAATTGCATGTAGGGTCACTTAAAATTAATATTTACATGGAATATTATTAGAATGTTCTACCTGACACAAGAAGCTGATTCTAATATTTTCATGGATTTTCTTACAACTGCTATATCCACCTTACTGTACATATCCAGCTCATTTAGTCAATAATTCAACCAATTGTGAACTTGAGCTGCAATTTTAAAATGACATCCCAGGTAACAATTCTCAGAATTTATTCGGAGAAAATTTTCGAGAATTTTTCGGGAAAAAATCCAGAGAAATTCTCAGGAAACCAAAAAGTCTCTGAAATTTGGTACCTATTTTGGAGAATTACGTAAGAATTTCCGGGGGATCAGTCACAAGAACATGTTCTAAAAACTCTCCATAAATTCTCCACTTTTGTTACCTGGGATGGTATGTAATTAGATATTAATAACATGACGTTATTGTTGAATATCATGACATGATATGTTTTGTTACCTGGGATGCTATGTAAATAGATATAATAACATGACGTTATTGTTGAATATCATGACATGTTATGTTGAAAAAATGCATCTAATATTTAAAAACACAGCTGTCAGCTCCTTTTATAGAACGAAATCTTAATTTTAATAAGCTTTGTTATATAAAAGAGCCGTTTCCTGAGACTCCCGTCCAGTCGGTAGAAAACCTTAGAATAATTGATTGATGAAATCTTATCTTCAATGTATAAATTATATGTGTATTTCACTAAATTTTACTCATATCACGTCATATTAGAATGAATTGTTTTCAATCATAACTATTCTTATTAAAAAGCTATTGAGAAGACCACAATGTGTTAAATATTTTATATGCTGCCGTATAAAAATTTTCTTTTCTTTTACTAGAGCTGCAAAAAATCAAAGCTATATAAGCTACAAGGTCACAATATCGTACCAGTTATATCGCATAAATTTTACGTCTATACTTCACAGTAAAATCAGCAAAAAACGCTAAAAAAGACTCTTTGCCTAGTACGGTCATTGAAGTGTCGTATAAAGGAGCAACAAAATATTTCCCCCCCCCCCTTATTTTTCTGCAAAGAATCCCCCCCTCATTCCCTCTCTTGTTAGCTTTAAAAGGAAAGTTGATTGTCAAATAGTTACAATGGTATTTTCTGCACTATTATAATCAACCTTGAGTTCTATACTGCAACAGTCGTGACTATTTATGCACAAAAGAACTACGAACGCTGTATGTACACAAACATACGACGGTCGGCACACGATGCATTTAATACAATTGAGGATACAAGGAGGGGACGGAGTTACCGTCCCCTCCCACCCTGACGGACTCAGGTGGGGAGTTACCCTCCCCCTGAGATTTTGAGGCAAAAAATGTCCCCAATAAAAGTTTTAGGCAAAGGATTCAGGGTTTAAGGACTGCACAGTGTTAGGAACAGGAAAAAAATAGGAACGTTAAGCAAGGTACAAGTGAGAAACAAAAATGAGAGAACTAGGAATTAGGAATGAAAATTAAAGAACTAGGAACGTAATTCGTAAAATATGAAATGATGATTAACACATAAAGGTTCAAAAAAAGGAAACATACATATGAGCAAAAAATGTCATTTATACTTTACATGAATTAGGAATAATATTCAAAAATAGGAGCATTAAGCAAGTTAAGATAAAAAAACTACTAGGAAATTTATATGCATGTAAATTCAAAATTAGGAACGTTATTGAATTTTGATAAATGAAAAGTAAAAAATCTAGTTTATTTAGTCTTTTAGTCATTAATTTTGACACTTTTTGCGTTTTTCATGTTAAAAAAAACGTTTCGTTTTTTTGTACCACCCTCTCTGGCTTAAATCCCATATATGGCCCTGATTAAATACATTATAAGATGATTGGTCAAAAAATAAAAATAAAAAAATTCTTGCCAAAAATCTGATTTTCTAATTTCTTTTTCTTTGTAACCCAATTTCGGAGACCATTGATAATTCAATCTATGACTTCTGGTAGATCAAATGATACAGTTTGAAATATCAGTAAGAAAGGTACAGGGATTAGCTTGCGACTAAGAGTCTTTTTCATGTGTGTACGTTTATAATATTTAGTCTAGATCAATAGCTTTATTAATACCCCCCCCCCCATATTCTTACCTGCCCTTTCGGCCATATTCTTTTAAACCATATCTAAAAATAAAAAAAACATTTATCAAAAACGGGTCAAAAAAAATTCAGAGGCGTACACAGGACCCCTCCCCTGGATCAGTGAAACCGTGATTTCCAGGTGGTGTTTAGTCCTCCATACGTGGTAAGCCCCCCCCCCTTAACTGGACTGCACTGACCTTTACTGCACTGTACTGTACTGAACTTTACTGTACTGTACTGTAATGGGCTGTGCTGTACTGTACTCTACTGTTTTGTATTGTACTTTACTGTACTTTACTGTACTGTACTGCACTGTACTGTACTGTACTGTACTGTACTGTACTGCACTGTACTATTATTTACTGCATTGTACCGTACTGTATTAATCGATACTATGATAGTAGTGGTTAACCTGCATAAATAATTCGACGAAAGAAAGAGGTGCTGTGGAGGTAGAGCAACTGACAATCAATCAATCAATCAACAATTTGTAAAGAAAACAAGAGCGTATACAAGGGGCAGGGGGACGTGCCCCTCCCTAGACGTATTTAAAGTTGGAGTACCTCTAAATTCCAAGGTTATGGAAATACAAAAACTTTTAGAAATCATTCCTTAGTTTTATTCATAGTGATATTCAAGGTCATAATGCAAGGAATGTTATTTCAGAGGTGTACGCATCTTTTGTACTGCAGTGTACTGTCACTGGGCAGTAATGTAAACACAAGACGGATGTAAAACTCACAGCCTGACTTCGGATCCATCTTTCACATAAAAATTCATTGAAATATTCTGGTCATAAGAAACTATTATGTGAATTTTCAAAATTATCAAAATTCAATGCTTTTAACCTCCTCGGATACTAAACGAACACTGATGCATCTATTCTTGTTTACAAATTCCGCCCAGAGAGAACTGGTTTCAATTTGTACGTAGAGTATACGCAACTGCAATTACTTTCCTTGCATTATTAACTCTAAATAACTGTTTACGCCCTTAATATGGAAAAAGCGGGCTATTTGAAAACGTGAATTTTAATATTTTATCTTTAAAAAAAAATCCAGGAATGAGCATAAACGGTTCTTTAACTCTATGAATAAAACTACGAAATTATTTTTAAAACTTTTTGTATTTCCATGCTTGGCTGGGGCCTTACCATACTTTTTATTCAAAATAGTTATTTTTTGTTGATCGATCCTTGGGGTAGCTGAAACATTTAAATGTTCTTTATTAGTTTTAATGATATTTTTACATTATTATTACAAGGACGATTATAAAAACTATTTTCTGCATAATGTCCATCTCCCCCTCTTCTCCTATGCATTATTCAAAGTTGTCGAATTCTTCTAAAACATTACATAATTGAAACGATATCCAAAAATATGGCTGAAGTATCAATTTTAATTTTAGAGATAAATAAGTTTTTTCCGCATGGTTTTCAATCTGAATGAAATTCAGCTAAATATTAGAACTTTCGCCTCTAGGATTATAGGAAGATTGTAATGTTTTTCTTGGGGAGGGGGGGGGGCGTCTGAATATTATTCAGCTTTGGATCAAAATAGATTATTAACATTAATGATTAAGACTTTCTTACAGGAATTCTTCTTTTATGTATATACACTGGCAAAGAAAGATTAAAAATATCTAAAATTTGATTTTTAAAAATTTGCTACTCTGTATAAATTTCGCGAAAATCTGAAAATGTAAAACAATCACGACTATCAGTTTTGCAGGGCATGCAACAGTTAAAAGGTAAAAAGAAAAGCACACTTAAAGCATATGTCTATACATATAAACTCGGGCTAGTTTGGCTTTTATCCAATAAACGTCAAAACGGCTGAACTGATTGGGAAAGCTCTAACCCCTTTATCTTTGCAACCTGGCAGTTCCAACCTTGGATCTAATGTCTAATATCTAAGGCTTCCGAAGTTCCGACATTATATTCACAAATATAGAGGTGAGACATCCTCTTAATAATTTTCATCCAGATTTAATATAATCGATCTTTGTTCAGAAATCCAAATACACTTAGATATAGCTTCCTAAACTTTAATTTTGTTTACAAAACTTTCATATGTAAATGAGAGAAATGCAAGACTGGACTGCAGTTTTAAACTGAATAAACTCTGAATGTTTGTACGCAAATGACGCGGTTAAAAAGATTAAATGACGCGAAAGAAGCAGATGACAGGGAAAAGTATTCTAAACTTGGTCATGCAGTTGGGTGGACTACAACACCAACACCAACAGTCAGGAGTGGCTTACAATATATTCCAGAGGGAGGGGGATTATTTGAATCATTGGGCGCCGAATTCCCCCCCCCCCCCTGGAATTTTATTTCTAATCCATGAACAGGTTGGGAGGTTGAAGATGGAAAGTGTTCGCAAGATTTGAATTTTTTTTAAAGAAGTTACTAAAAATCTAATCTCTCTTCATACTTTCGTAATTTTTCCAAGGGGGGAGACGTCCCCCCAATTTTAAAGGAAGGGGGACTTTCTTTGCTTTAAATGTTAAAAAATGTTTAAAAAAAACTTACATTTTCTAACCCCAATATCTTTGCAACCTAATGCTGTAAACCTTTGATATTTCAAACTTAGACTATTTGATCTACCAGAAGTAATAGTTTGAAATATCAAAGGTCTAGGAAAACGGGTTGCTAAGTTATAGGAATTAGAAAATCTGAGTTTGAGGCAAAAACTCAATTCCTTTCCAGAAATGATAGCTTCTAATGAGTTGCGATAGCAATACTTATTTAGCTGAGCAGTTAGCACTGAACATTTTGGTACATTTTTAACAATTGTAAGTTTTTCGAATAATTAACCTTTAAATGTTTCTTTCTTTTATTCTCAAATGTTAAAACTGTTAAATGCTTCTTCAACTAAAAAGTTTAATTAATTGCAAATATAATCTACAATCAAGGAAACATCCAAGGTCAGATGTAGAAAAAATTTATGATTCTCATAAACTACATCAACAGTAAACTTTCAAATCATTCTACTTAATAAAATCATTGTTGTATTTGCATCCGCAGGAAATTAGAAAATATTCCGGATTTCAGGGGTAATCACTCAGAAAATAAACTTTTTATTAGTTTTAATTTCGTTTTTTTTTGTCTGGTTTAGTTTTGGATAGTTTACTTTTGCATTTTATCCATTTCATCCTGATTTCTGGTATTCTCACTAAAACTAATTAAAGCGGAAAGAGGATTAAGAGAATCAAGGATATTTACAAGGTTCTAGTAAAACAGGATATTAAGGAGAGGAGAGAAGGAGGGATGAGGATGTTATAGTGAGGAGAGGAGGAGGAATGATAATGGTATATTGAGGTAAGCAGAGGAGGAGGGATGAGGAGGGTATAGTGAGGAGAGGAGAGAAGGAGGGATGAGGAGGGTATAGTGAAGTGAGAAGGAGGGATGAGGAGGGTATATTGAGGAAAGGAGAAAAGGAGGAATGATAATGGTATATTGAGGAAAGGAGAGGAGGAGGGATGAGGTTATGGTATATTGGGGAGAGGAGAGGAGGAGAGATGAGGATGGTATATTTAGGAAAGGAGAGGAGGAGAAATGAGGAAGGTATATTGAGGAGAGGAGGAGGGATGAGGACGGTATATTGAGGAGAGGTGGAGAAGAGAAATGAGGATGGTATACTGAGAAGAGGAGGAGGGATGAGGATGGTATACTGAGGAGAGGAGGAGGGATGAGGATGGTATATTGAGGAGAGGTGGAGAAATGAGGATGGTATACTGAGAAGAGGAGGAGGGATGAGGATGGTATATTGAGGAGAGGAGGAGGAATGAGGATGGTATACTGAGAAGAGGAGGAGGGATGAGGATGGTATACTGAGGAGAGCGAGGAGGAGGTATATTGAGGAGAGGAGGAGAAATGAGGATGGTATACTGAGAACAGGAAGAGAAGAAATGTGGATTGTATCTGAGAAAAGGAGGAGGGTTGAGGATGATATATTAAGGAGTTAAGAATAGAATGAATGAGTTTGAATACTGGGACACTGTGTCTAGTTGCAGTAATCCTGTAGCAAATACCTACTCAATAACAATTTACTTGAGACCTATCTATCCAGGTCTAGTCGTTACCAAATCAACCAGGACCAGCTCCGGACTCCCCAATTCTAAATGTCACAAAGACAATATCTCAACCAGGCTTTAACTCCCTGGTTCTAAAGGACACACAGTCCAAGTCTCAATCAGGATTAACTATCTAATTCTGAAGGACACCCAGTCCATTAAAATTGCTGCACAGGCAATTTCTCAACCAGACTTAACTCCCTGGTTCAAAAGACACACAGACTGCTCATCCTTTATAGCGCAATTTAAGTATGTCGCATGATTTAAGCTAATCACGATAAGTATTCAATTGAAATGCAGTTACAGTGAATAATGTCGTTATGCCTAAGTTTAAAACATTAAATCATTTATGAAAGTACAACTTACTGCAAGTTTACAGAAGATCATGTTTAAATGCTTTTTGCTACAGTCCTCTGTATACTGGGACACCATGTCTAGTTGTAGTATTCCTAAGTACACTGGGACATCGTGTCTGTAGTTGCAGTAGTCCTCTATATACTGGTACACCTTTTCTGTAGTTGCAGTAGTCCTCTGTATACTGAGACACCTTGGCTGTAGTTGCAATAGTCCTCTGTATACTGACACACATAGGCTCTAGTTGCAGTAGTCCTCTGTATACTGGGACACCTTGGCTCTAGTTGCAGTAGTCCTCTGTATTCTGGGACACCTTGGCTCTAGTTGCAGTAGTCCTCTGTATTCTGGGACACTTTGGCTCTAGTTGCAGTAGTCCTCTTTATTCTGGGACACCTTGTCTAGTTGCTGTAGTCCTCTGTATTCTAGGACACCGTGTCTGTTTTGAAGTAGTCCTGCATATACTGGGACACCTTGTCTAGTTGCAGTAGGCCTCTGTATTCTGGGACACCTTGGCTCTAGTTGCAGTAGTCCTCTGTATTCTGGGACACCATGTCTGTAGTTGCAGTAGTCCTTTATAGATTCTGGGACACCGTGTATGTAGTTGCAGTAGTCCTCTATATACTGGGACACCTTGTCCAGTTGCAGTAGTCCTCTATATACTGGGACACCTTGTCTAGTTGCAATAGTCCTATGTATACTAGGACACCTTGGCTCTAGTTGCAGTAGTCCTCTGTATACTGGGACACCTTGTCTAGTTGCGGTAGTTCTCTATATACTGGGACACCTTGGCTCTAGTTGCGGTAGACCTCTGTATTCTGGGACACCGTGTCGGTAGTTGTAGTAGTCCTCTGAATACTGGGACACCGTGTCTATAGTTGCAGTAGACCTCTGTAAACTGGGACACCTTGTCTATAGTTACCATAGTCCTCTGTATACTGGGACACCTTGTCTAGCTGCGTAGGCCTCTGTATACTGGGACACCTTTGCTCTAGTTGAGGTAGACCTCTGTAAACTGGGACACCTTGTCTATAGTTGCCGTAGTCCTCTGTATACTAGGACACCTTGGCTCTAGTTTTGCAGTAGTCCTCTGTATACTGGGACACCTTGGCTCTAGTTGCAGTAGTCCTCTGGATACTGGGACACCGTGTCTGTAGTTGTAGTAGTCCTCTATATACTGGGTCACCTTGGCTCTAGTTGCAGTAGACCTTTGTAAACTGGGACACCTTGGCTCTAGTTGCAGTAGACCTCTGTATACTGGGACACCGTGTCTATAGTTGCAGTAGTCCTCTATATACTGGGTCACCTTGGCTCTAGTGGCGGTAGACCTCTGTATACTGGGACACCTTGGCTCTATTTGCAAAAGGCCTCTGCATACTGGACACCTTGTCTAGTTGCAGTAGTCCTCTGTACACTGGGACACCGTGTCTGTAGTTGCAGTAGTCCTCTGTATACTGGGATACCTTGGCTCTAGTTGCAGTAGTCCTCTGTATACTGGGACACCTCGACTCTATTTGCAGTAGACCTCTGTAGACTGGGACACCATGTCTAGTTTCAGTAGGCCTCTGTATTCTGGGACACCGTGTCTGAGTTGAAGTAGTCCTCTGCATACTGGGACACCGTGTCTATAGTTGCAGTAGACCTCTGTAAACTGGGACACCTTGTCTAGCTGCAGTAGGCCTCTGTATACTAGGACACCTTTGCTCTAGTTTCGGTAGACCTCTGTAAACTGGGACACCTTGTCTATAGTTGCCGTAGTCCTCTATGTACTAGGACACCTTGGCTCTAGTTGCAGTAGTCCTCTGTATACTGGGACACCGTGTCTGTAAATCCAGTAGTCCTCTGCATACTGGGACACCGTGTTTATAGTTGCAGTAGTCCTCTGTATACTGGGACACCGTGTCTGTAGTTGCAGTAGTCCTCTGCATACTGGGACACCGTGTTTGTAGTTGCAGTAGTCCTCTGCAAACTGGGACACCTTTTCTGTAGTTGCAGTAGTCCTCTGTATACTGGGACACGGTACACCGTGTCTATAGTTCCAGTAGTCCTCTGTATACTGGGACACCGTGTCTGTAGTTGCAATAGTCCTCTGCATACTGGGACACCTTTTTTGTAGTTGCAGTGGTCCTCTGTATTCTGGGACACCTTGTCTAGTTGCAGTAGTCCTTCCTACATTGTACTATCTTGCACAAAAGAACAAAGAAAATGAAAAAGCAATCTGAACAGAATTTATTCAATTTTAGAAAATCTTTCTTCCTGGAATTGAAACTGAAATTGATATTTTTAAATTCCAGCTGTTCATTGAATATAAAATAGGAAACAACATCTTTTAAATCACTGCTAGCTGTCATAATGTTAGTCTCACTGGTATTTTATTTTAAATTATACAAAATTTTAGAATTGGAGTTTAATTTTTTTTTTTTAGTTTACGTCACATTTTTATGCAGATAGAATAAAAAATTCTGCAGTTCCTCTGAAAGAAAGTTTTCAAAGCTATAAAGTTGTATTATAGCAAATTGGATCTTAATGAGATCATTTTTCGAATTAAAAATGTTTTTTCTAAAAATTTAATCTGCAAACATGTAACGTACGTATAAAAATTGTAATTGGTTTAATCATATGTAATTATTATATATGTAATAAATATCTATTTTAAAAGAGATCATATTTAGGGTAATCTGAAAATAAATATCATATTTCTGTAAATCAAAGTACCCTTGTAGGCATGTACAATTCACACTGGATCTAACCTACAGAGTTATTCTTTGAATTTAAAGATTTGAAGATTGAACTAAGGTTCTGCCATCCATTATAGTTTTTTGATGATATATTAAAAGATTTTTAATAAAAATAAGTTTACACCTCCAGAGATCTATGAATATAAGAATTAAGAGCGAACAAAATCCGTACAGTCGTCTCTGAAGTCTCATCCTTGTATAATGTATTCATGATCTAGGAAACTAAATTTATCAATAATTGAACTTCAGAAATCATTCTTGTGTTTAGGTTTCTATTTTCATCCTGACTGTAGGTCTGGGAGCAACAGCTGATGGATTACTGGTGTCCCAAAAGATGAGACCAGTAAGTTCTTTAAAAATCTTTAAAAAAAATTTTACCTCGAGCACACTCCACATTTTTTGGATAACCTATTTTTACAAACAAAATAAGGTTTCTTAAACTTATCGAGCAGTATGCTTTTAATATTCTGTGAAGGATGGTTTCTTGGCCTAATATACCCTTGGAGTCCTTGGAAAAATGCTTTAAATACAATAGAATTTATTGATTAAAGCTTTGCATTAAACTGTTTACAATTAGAAGGAAGGCTGACAAATATTACATTGTTTTAATTGTAGATTACCGTGTCCGCTGAATTGCAAGAGGAGTTTAGAAAGCTGAACAGGTATTGTAGTTCATATGGCAGCTCATACAGTTCAGGATACTCCTACAGTAACTACAGACCTTCTTCATACAGCGGCTACAGCAACTACAGACCTTCTTCATACTACTACCCACAACAACAACAACAAACAAGTCCGTTGTCTGGCCTCGGGTCCCTCGTAGGTCAGTTAATTGCATATACCAGTATATTTGGTTTGTCTTTCAATGTCCTTTTAGTACAGTGAAACCCTTAATAACGAATACATCGAAAAAATTCATCAAATGTCGTATTCTTCACTATCTGATAATGGAATGTTGCAGATATTTAGTTTTTTAATTAAATGATTATATAGAACTCTTTAAAACTGGTTCCGCATATCCATGGCTATTTATTTATTTTCGCAAATACTGAAATTCACGTAATATAGTATAAAACTCATTGAAAATTGTCAAAACGACATTTAATAAGTTCTTCCGATGTATTCGTTTTTAAGGGTTTCACTGTAGCTCACCATGCTGGAAGTTTTATATCTATTTAGAATCAAAATAATTTGATTAAAATAAGGTTGATTTTTTGGAAAATCATTTAATAAGCCATTATTAGATTGAATGTGATGCAAAAGACTTAATTCAAATCGTCATGTTTTAGAGTTTCAAGTTGTCTTTACAGTCTTATCTTTTGTATGAATGTAAATTTCAAATACTTATATCCATCAGTTAAATTGAAATATAACTTTTTTGAATTTTATTTATTTTTTTTTAGGACCATTTGTAACTGGTGCTGCTGTTGGAACAGGAGCTTCTCTGCTTGGAAGTTTCCTTGGAGTTGGAAAGTGAAACAAAGTTCCAAATCCTAATTATAAATGTTATTGAAATGCTTTTCTCTAAAAATATAAAAATTTCCTTGCATTCTAATTTTCATACGGTGAGGGTAGGCGATTATATCAATATAATAAAGACGACTTTTTATTGAAGTTTTAATTGTTAAGAAGCTTTTTTTTGAACTACAAGTGTGCACATAATTGTTGAGAAGCTTTTTTAAGTTGGCATATTCTCTTTGTTTCCTTGTTTAGTGTATCCTCGCCGTTTAAAAGCTTGATATAAATAAAAATGAAAATCTAAAGTCGTCTTCATTATATCAATAAATTTTGGGTTGGTTGGTTAGTGTGTGGCACCAGTTCTTGATAGATCACTGAAGTTAAGCACACTTTTCCGCAGCCAGTAACTGGATTGGTATCCAGACTGGTGTTCACCGGTTTGATTCCCGCACTCCTCACAAACCTGTGGTTTCAAAAGCATCTGAAGCCAACATCTGGTTAAGCAGTTATGACCACCTGACGGATGTAGGAGGACAGAGGGGCGGCTGTTAACATCTCTCGTAGTGAAAGGGTGCGTGCGTGCTTACTATTCAACAATAAAGAAGCTTTAAATCATAGAGAATAGAATATATAGAGAGGAATTAAAATAATCTCTCGGTATGGATTTTTTCAGTCCCTTTCAGCCTGAAAGGGAGTTCAAAGCGTACAAATCATGTAAATGTTCACAAATTATATGCAGTAGAGTACATTAATACAGTATGTTCCCTAGACTATTCATTTCAATTTCGAATTTTTGAAACTATTAAATAAACTTTATAATGAATTATGTGAATAAAAACATCATTTGATTTATAGTTATAACGGAAAATCATCGTTCGTAAAGTGGAAGGCATAGAGTCTATGTGAAATGATCATTGGTCAATTATGAAACCAGCCTATTTCATAATTTGGTTTTCTTTTAACAATAATTTTAGATTTTCTATAAAATGATATTCCAGGGCCCAACAGGTTATAAAGCACAAATATGTGAAGTACACCTGCAGTATGGAAACAGTACAACAAAATGGCCGTTTTACACTTTTTTTCTAGTAAATTCCTCTCTATATATTCTATTCTCTATGCTTTAAATGGATTGATCCATGTGAATGATGATGAAGAGAGGAAAGGTTGACAGCAGGGATAGTCTATGGTTGCCAGCTATAGGCACCTGGAGGTATCCAATCCGGGCTTACAAATGATTGGGAGCAATGAGTGTGATGTTTCCAATAAGTAAGGCACCTTGGCCTCATTCCCGTACATCGGAAGAATTCCTACACTCTAATACTATCCTCAGGCCTAAGAAGCCTTAGGCAGCTGGATTCTTGTCAGCCATCTTCTCAGAATAAATGAAGAGTGGACAGATGAATGTTCTGCCAGATTACAACAGTAAACTTTTGCAATAGAAAAATTCCGAGATTCGATTATAACAACCCGATCATGTCCTGGGAACAAAAACATCTCTTTTAAAACATTATTGCCCACCACCATAGTTTAAAAAGTTTGGTGTGTTAGCTACAGAAAGCGAATGTATATAATGTTTTAAATAAAATATAAAGAATTTGGCAGCTGTTGACCCATTAATTCTTAAAAAATGTTTTTTTTTTTGTCATAATGCTACAATATAAGTAATGCTCTGATGCACAATACACTTGATATTAGAAAAAATTTAAGACTTTTAAAGGGACTGTAAAGGAACAATTAAAGAGGGTACAGGCTGAAACCTTGGGGCTTTAGGAGTTGATTTCATAAACCATGGCGAGTGACTTTTACAGTGAAACCACAATTGAGAATAGTCAATTTAAGGATTTCTCCTTCATTCATTAAAGGTTAAAGGGTTCGTTGTGATTTGGAAATGTCAAGCTAATAAATGCATGTGGCTCAATTGGAATTACATCTTTACATCACTTCGCAGTAAATTAGTCCATGCTTCAAATCGACATCATCAAAACTATTTCATTAATATTAATTGATTTTTAACTAATTGTTATGTGCACAAAAATAGGTCACATTTTAGATGGTCTTTATGCACAGAACAGAGATTATAATAGAAAGAAAATTAGACAATTCCTTGGTATGGAACCGGTACAACAAAATGGCGGTTACACTTTTTTTGAGTTAATTAATTCCACTCTATATTAATCTATTCTCTTTGTCTATACGTTACTCAAACTAAACCAAAATGCTTTGCATGAAACTGTTGACAATAGAAGGAACGTTTGACACATCCTCTAATCTATTAATGTTCACGATTACAATCATGTGAAAGCTATCAACGCCACTACCACATGGGCGCGATCTCGGTAGCTAACAAACAATTGCTATCAAACTATAGCTCTAAATGCCACACAGGAACACAAGGGTAGCTATCAAACAAGCTATCAAACTATAGCTCTAAATGCCACACAGGAACACAAGGGTAGCTATCAAACAAGCTATCAATCAAGCTCTAAATGCCACACAGGAACACAAGGGTATAGCTATCAAACAGGCTATTAATCCGGGCTGTATGAATGCCACACAGGAACACAAGGGTAGCTATCAAACAAGCTATTAATCCAGGCTCTGAATGCCACACATGGAATTAAGTGTAGCTATGGTAAAAACGTTTGCAAATAAATAATGCTTTGTGGGTTCGGGAAGTAACGTAACCAATTCTTTTGGATTCCGTCATCTCCGTTTAGGGACAAAAGTAAATGTCGTCTTTTTAATAATCAGTTTAGGATCAAAGTGTACACTACCCGGGAAGTTCAAATTACTACTTGAAAACTGAACAGTGGCCGGGTCAAGAGTCCGGTATCTTAAGAGCGGTATTAGCTAATACCGCTCTAATACCACTCTTAACACTAACACCGGTGTTTAGGAAATACGGATTCATAAGTCGCTAATGCTGCCTAATTTGTGGCAGGATTATCTAGCCTAGAACAGACCGGTATTAGCACAACTTATGAACGCGTAGGGTAGATGATCCTACCAACCAGGATTAGTTAAGAGTGCTATTAAGGGACTCTTGACCCGGCCTCAGTTGAGAAAGGGTTATGGAGTACATTATAGCTGTGTACACATTTGAAATTCTTCTGTTTTGAATGTGAAAATTGGCTCGGATTCAAAAATGTCGTTACTAATAATACTTACAGTTTTTCTTTCCCTGTTTTTATTTCAAATGTGGGGGTCTGTCGTAGAGAACGATTTTTGGGGTCTGTCCTAGTATACGATTTTTGGACCCCCCCGGCCCGGCTCCATCCTATCAATTTTGTACACCCGATAACTTAATTTTCAGCAAAATTATTATTGTTTATTTTTTATTATTTTAGGGATGATTTCTTAGTGAACGATTTTTGGACCCCCCTCCCCCTCCGATCAATTTTGTACATAATTTTTTATCTATTTTTAAAAAAGACACATGGATAAAGTTGGTCTTGTGGCCGCAGCGCCGGCCCCCTAGCCTGTCCTAGCTGCAGCGTTCAGCCCCCTAGCCTATCCTAGCCGCAGCGTACGGCCCCTAAAGTCTGTCCTATCCGCAGCACTGGGCCTTGAAAGTGTCTTAATCTAACCTAACCCTAAATATATACTGATTTTTTGGGTATTTTTGAAATTGAAGGTCTATACTGGCCGAGGCGCTCGGCTCCCTAACCTGTCCTAGCCGCAGCGCTCGGCCCAAAAATTGTCCTAACCAAACCTAACCCTGAAATACCACTAAATAATTATTTTTTTCAATATATTTAAGATCTAGGTATAATTGTTCTCTAGGATAATACCCAAATGTGAAAAGCATAACCATAATGTTGATGGAACGCTTAACAATTTAATTTTAATATTTAAGTCATTTTTTTCATTTTCCACAGCGAATTCATAAATATGAAAAACAAAGTAAACTAAAATGTTATTGAACATGTATTTAACATTGAATGATTTCAGAAAAAAAAATTCTGTGACCAATTATACAATTAAAACATAAACATGAATGAGAAGATAAAACCATATTTAATTATAAAGATTATATTGGGTGTTTTAATACTAATAGCAGACTTTGTCGTTGGAGTCAGACTACTCAGTAAGTGTGAACTTTATTTTTATTTAACAAAGAATTTATTAAAAATAGTCGCTAAATCTAACCTGCACCTATTTTGATTTAAGTTGCCAAAGTAAAAACTGGACAAAGAAAAGTAAACCCTAAATAGATTTTAACCACACAAAGGGATTTTTTTCTGATAACTGCTGATAACGTCTATTCCTTTTCTTTAAACGGAGATCGTAACTTATGTGCTGATATTGTGAATCTTAAATGCTCAATCTCGGTGTCCATTGTGGGCACTTTTAAAAGGTTTCTCTTTTTGGTATAACCATCACTGCCGATATCTCAGAGAATAAAATTTATCCATTGACCCGCATAAGATGGAGATCATAGCTTGAAGTTCAGTTTTTAAATGATACTAATTAAGGTGGAGGGTATCTTTTGTGGGGTTTATTGACCCTTGGTTGTATCCTGACCGGGGTGCTGGTCTCACTGCTAGTGGTCTGCCTGGGCAGGTGCAGCACGGGGGACTCCATGTCTTGCAGCAAGTTCACCATTCTTACACTCAAGGTTTTATTCTTTATTTGGTTGGTTTAATGGGCTGTCGACGATGTTTAAAGTTAAACTCTATTATAAGAATTGCATGCATGCTTGATTCACAACGGTACCCGGTAAACCTTTGTCAGGGTAAAACTGAGGAGGGCGTTTTTGTGTTTCTCTCGGAAAATTGATTATTGTTATTTGGGGTTTCTCTGGAAAACTGACTCGCGGATTTTTGATAAGAATAAAATTTTCATAAGTTAACATTCTATAAGCTAGAAAAACAATGAAATCTTCCTTAGTATTGCTCTGAGAAAGGTTTAAGGAGTACCATTGTGAATGACGTATGCAACCCTTCAATCAAAGGGTCACTTAATATTACTTTAAAGGGAGTTTTCGCCAAGGACTTAAAACTTAAAAGAAAAATGAAAAATTGGACATAAACTGGTCATAAACTGGCCATTAATTGGCCATTAATTGGCCATTAACTGGAAAATTTCCCATATTTTTTTTACTTTTTTGGTTTAATTCATTAGTTTATGTATTTGTCCTCAAATCAATTTTTTTCCTTTTGACAATTTCGGGAAATATATTTTTCAAGAGAAGGGGGGGGGGGGAGGAAGGATAAGTCATTGTATTAAAGGCATTTTAATAACTTCCCTCTGCCAAGGTTCATGCTGAGCTCACTGGTGCATTCTTCCACTCTGGTCCCCAGATAGTAGTTCAACTTGCAGTATTTTGGTCTGGAATATATTCACATGATCTACAGGTTCAAAACGTGTTTCAAATCATATTTTTCTTAAATGACTTTTTTATTTGATAAATTGGTTGTGATTTTGGTGTTTTCCATTTACACACTTTTACGAAAATTGAAATTTTCTGTAAAACCTAGATAGAGATTTAAAGATTTAGTTGAATTTGTTCCATTTTTTAATTTAGAAAGTTATTTTTTAATTTAGTTTTATGCATGTTTTTTATTTTTGTCGATAAATAATTGTCATTTGTTTTTGTTCAAAGAATTTGCTAATCAATTGGAATTTAGATTTGTATGTGATGTTTATTTTTTATTGATTGATTTATAATTTTTTTGATTAAACTTAATTGATTGTTTGATTGATCAGGTTTATACTGAGCCTGGTACATCATCTTGGATGTTTGCTTGGGCTGAGATATTGAGTCCTGCTCTCAACTTTATTTCATTAGTCTATACAGGTAGGACTACAGTATTGACTACTGATAAGTCTATACAGGTAGGACTATAGTATTGACTACTGATAAGTCTATACAGTTAGGACTACAGTATTGACTACTGATTAGTCTATACAGGTAGGACTACAGTATTGACTACTGATTAGTCTATACAGGTAGGACTACAGTATTGACTACTGATTAGTCTATACAGGTAGGACTACAGTATTGACTACTGATTAGTNCCCCCCTCCTGTCCAAGCTCTCTCAACTCTAAGCTGTTCAATACTAGTACTGCTCCACTGTTTAGCTGTTCTATTATAAAGACATGTATGTAAACGTATTATTCGTTATCGATACGTTTTTTATTCGTTCTGGTTTTTGATTCGTTTTTGATACGTTTTTTATTCTTTTTGATACTTTTTTCAGTCTTTTTGAATATACTTTCTCTCAGGGTAAAAACTCGACAAAGTGTAATTAATGATTAAAAAAAACGTGAATTTATGAATGATTAAAAAAAAGTGAATTTATGATTCTATATATTTTAGATGGTTTGGTGACGGACTGCAAAGCTTGAGTCAGGCATACTTTACTCTTTATCTACCCTGCGGACATACTAACCTACAAGGAGGGAAACCTGGATATATACCTTCCAGTTCAGGTTTGGTTAATTATCATTTTCTTCGTTATTATTATTTATTAATAATTTTTGATTTGTAATTTTACATTCAAGTCATAGTCGGCCGTTTACAATTTACATTGTGTTTTTTTACAATTTATGCTTCTGAAATCTCTATTTTCCTATTTTTGAGTAGTTTTGTTTTGTCTTTTTCAGTGCTTAGGATCCGGATTCGTTGGATCCGCAAGATTTTGACTTCCTGGATCCGGATCCGCAAAAATATGCTGATCTACGGAGTAAAATATTAACCAAAAACTGAAAAATCACTCCTAAAACCCAAATCTGAACTTTTGAAAAAAAGAAATAATAAAAATTTCGCCATTTCTGAATGGTTTTAGGATAAAAAAATAAGCGAAAAAAAATAAAACAAAATTTGAAAATTATTTTTTGCTTAAAAAATTCGGTAAATCTTAAAGAAATGACCTGGGTCCGGATCCGGATCCATTTTGTTCCAATGCGGATCCAGGATCCGGATCTGCATAAAAATTAAATGGATCCTAAGCACTGGTTAGAAGCTGATTAATTTATATAACATGAAAATAAAACATGAACATAACTTGCAGATTGTTCTTCACTGTTCACAATTAATCAGATTTAATGTTAAATAAAATAAAATCAGAATTTCAAGTTTGAATTTTTTACAATTTGTTATAACTATTAGGCTATCAGCGCGCTTCGTGCCCATCCTCTATTTCAACTTTTAATAATTGCTCCATAATTCAGCATTTTTTCCTCGAAATAATAATAATAATACAAATTTTGAGCGATTAACACTTTTTTCATGGATTTTTAAAATTAAAAAAATTTAACATTTTTGTAGACAACTTTTTGTAATTCTGAGCATCCATAAACCTTTCCTAGGTTTTCACACAAGATTTGAACCCGATTGGTCAAGCCGTTAGGAAGTTATTGGATACAAACAGACAGAAAAGCAAAAAAATATATATATAATAACTATTAAGGAGTTGTTGAGCTTGAGAGAACCCGGATAAACCAAGAAGGATTGTTACTCCGGGTTCAGAAATATACTGGTGTTCAAATATTTACAACCCTCTCTCTCATCATACCATACATTGTGCTCATAGAGGTAATAATAATTTAAAGGACTAAAATTCAATTTTAAGTGGAATTGATAAAAAGTCGTATTAAAGGGAACTCGAGACGTAATCTTTTTAATGAATACCATGACACCATGTTCGATTCAGAACAGTACCCTTTCCACTTTTTTCTAATTACAGATGAATAATATATTCGTATTTGCTCAGCTGAAAATTGATTATTTTCATTGCAGTAACTTTTAAGAAAAAATAAGACAAAAAATTTGAAAAATTCTGCTTTGTTAAAAAATTGAGTAAATTTTATATAAATAACCTGGATCAGGATCCGGGTCCATTTTTTCCAGTGCGGATCCAGGATCCGGATCCGCATCAAAATTAATTGGATCCAAAGCACTAGCGGACTGTAGGTTGGACTATCACGGGATATCGAAGAGGAAATATTTAAATCCGTATTTTCTGCATATGATGGAGATCAAGGCGTGTTCCCTAAATTCTCAACACAAAAATTGATGACTTTAGAGCTGAAAACTTTAGAATGAGATATCCAAAATCTCGATTACTTAATCTGAGTATCCGATGGACACGCTTTTGATTTTCTTCGTAAACTACTCTTTCTTGGATAAAGTAGAGAAAAATCAAAAACCAGTTTTTAAATTAGAGAGTCCCTCCTGCTTCTTAAATGGCGCGCAAGCCCTTAATCCACTCCTTTTCTCTCTCTTTGGATATCCGTACATTGTTTTCTCGAATGAGAGTGCAGGAATTTAGTTAGTAAATTGTATTAACCATTGACAGCCTTGAAAATAAATTTTATCCAATGAGAGACCTCTGCAATTTTTAACATAATCTCGAGATTAGCAAAAAGAAGTATTGATCCTGATATCCACCATTCTAAAGTTCCCAGCTCAGCTCTGGTCTCATAAAAGGCCGCTTGTTCGACACCTAGCTATTAAGAATATTATTTTTGCAACATAAATATAATATTATATTCTTTGATGATGAGGTGAACATAATTCTAGATTTGGCTGCTGGATGCAGAACAGAGCTATCAAGTTGCCGATATTCTTCAATCCAGGTACACGGTGGACTAAGCCAGTGGGGTCGGTCAAATAGGCCTAGGATTAGGCCGGGTACTGTAAAAAGTCTGACCGCGCCATGGGAGTTGTCATAGTTAGCCCTCCGACGGGACTATGCCAAGAAAATTGACCCCTGTCGTATGTTAGTCTGGTTAGGGCGACGTACTGTACAGAATTTGATCATAGGATCAGGTCAGTACACGCTGTTATCTGGCAGGCCGGTACATACTGGGCAGGTCCTGTTCGAATTCAAATTTACTACGGCCCAGAGTGGGTGATCTACATTTAATGATTTTTTTTTTTATTAATGTCCCATCTCATCTCCCTGGAAGTTTGATGCTGAATTCAAATAATTAAACCAGGTCAAAAAGGGAAAATTTCAAATTTAACGAACAATCAAAAAACTTGCACATCAAAGTCCCATTTTCCATATTTGCAGGGCCGGTATATATACTGAATGTTTTTTCTAGCAAAATCAATGTCCAATGTTTATTGGGGAACTATAGTGATAACCATAAAACTCAGATATATATATATATATCTATATTTAATATATTTTATTTAGATATATGATATATATTTATTATTAAGATTGTTCCTGTACCTGACCCCTGGATGTCTACTTCTTGTGTCTACCCTATCCACCACCATATTCTACATATACGCTACCAAAGCTAGGAATGCCGCTAGGACATGGAAAGGTTAACATTCATTTTATATTTATTAAGTTTTAAGACAACTATTTAATTTTTGTGCTAAAATTATTTATACTAGCTTTTAGAGCGCTTCGCGCCTATCCTCTAATTTAACTTTTAGATGTGACTCTCTATCTGTGAACGAACTTCTTCTTTTTGTACAGTATAAAACAAAAAAAATTTCGCGGATTTTAAATATTTTTCGTGCTTTGTTTAATTTCGCAAAAATCCAAAGCTTTTTCATTCCGAGCATCCATAAACCTACCCTTGGGCCATGTGAGGTCCCACACACAATTTGGACCCGATCGGTTCAGCCGTTTTGACGAATATTAGATACAAATACCCAGACTAACAGACAGACAAACAAAGTATACATATAGATAAATTTATTTTTATTTTTGTGTTTTTAATTACAGTAAAACAGGTGGACAAGAAAAGGCTAGAACGATAACCAATATATCTGACCAGAAGTGTTGTGTATTGTATAAATTACTTAGTGAGATTGAGAACGATTCTTCTAAATTCAGATAAAATAGTTTTAAGTATAGTGTAACTCATTCAAAAAAATTATGAAATTTTTGAATCAGTATTTTTTTGGTTAATGTTTTTATAACAATAATAATAATAATAACAATACAGTTACTTATAATCTTATTATACATAAGATGTTATGGTTTTTAAATACAATGCAATATATTAATTCAAATATCAGAACTTCTAAAAACAAAAACATGAATATCTTATTCATACTTGATCTATCAAAGCTATTAGAGGGTGCTGTTGTGAATCAGACTCTTTCAATTGTCCCTTTTCATCCTTTAATAAAATCTTGCTTTCAAGGTTTGAATCTCGGAACTACTCTGCTCCCTCCCTCCTCCTTGGGGACGGACTCTGCGCTGCCCAACTCTACGAGCCTAGATACAAGGTTAGGATTGCTCTAGGAGGAAGCGCGAAGCGCAAAATTAATGTTACTTTTTTAGATGAATTGGGTCATTTTATCAACAGTGGGGGGGGGGGGGCGGTTTCTTCACGTTAAACTTTTCATCAACAACCTCCTATCTTTTTCGGTAGTTGGGTTTTTTAAATCAACTTGTTTGTAACTTTGTAGAATGTAGAACCTTTTATGTTAACTTAAAAAAAATATTATTTTTCTTTTGAAAAATCGTTTGTGAAACTTTTTTTTTCAGTCGACCATCCACTCAGATGTCCGAAAATTCTGCTCCTTTGTCCCTAAACTCAGTGTCCCAACCTGGAACTCCGGGACAACCGCTCAACACGTGGGGACAAAGACCTCTGTAAGTTTTCTTATCAAGAATTTTGGTTAATGATCAAAATAGTTAAATTCGAATTTATTTGTCCATACCGAGACATTCTTGTCAAACCTGAACATTTTTTGCATTACAAAATCCAGTTGAAGTTTCTTTTTTCAAAGTTTGATTCTAATCAAAGAGACGCCTCGGTTTTTTGCCTGTATTTAGTTTATATGCAATCTTTTAGGCACAGTTCTTTCCCTTATTGTGTTAATAATTATTTAAATTATATTTAATTATAATTTCAATATATTCATCTCGTAAAATATGTTGTGTATAGTATTTAACATTAGCATTTATACACACCCCAGGACCAGGTATTTCTCCAATTTCTCCAGTTTTGGTGACTTGCTTTGAGGAAATTCCGGGGAATTTCTCGAGAAGAAGTTCTAGTGACTGATTCCTTGGAAATTCTTGCAAAATTCTCCGGAATTGGTCCCTAATTTGAGAGATTTTTGAGTGAACTCGTTTTTCTGAAAGATTTTACTGTTTTTCTTGTCCTCGTTTTCATTTAATCTAATTGTAAGCAAAGAGATAAGGTTGTTTAAAAAAGTCTAATCCTTTCTTCTTGTAGGTCTGAGTATGAGGACAGGGAAGTTCATCTAATTCCGGCCTCGAACAGACCTCAGGAAACCAATTTATTTTTCATAAATTGAAATTTTTTAATTTTTAAATGATCGTTTCCATTTTACGATTTTATAAATCAAGATCTTCAATATTCATTTTACGATGATGATTTAGTTTTAAAAGTATACACAATAGAATGTATCGACTATATGGGTATTTTAGCTAACTTTCGGTTGCATAAACTTTAAAGCCAAGTTAGTTTATTGTAGAATCTGAAGGTTTTCAAAATCAGACTTAAAGGGAGTGACCGGCAATGTATGGTAGTTAAACTGAGAACGTATATTGTGAGGAAATTTTAAGAATTTATCTGAGACTCATGAAACGTTTTTATGGTGCATATTTGTTCAGCAAGAGAGCAAATTCATTTTTTGAAATCCTCTTAGATTGTTCATTTTGAAGGGATGATTTAGAGAATCGGTTTTAAAATAGGAAAAATATTGAAATGTAGTAAACATTCTACAGTAAACTAATAAGTTGTTTAGGAACAGTTTGAGAAAATAAAACTTGACTATTAACATCGATAATAAGTAATCTTATTTTCACAAGCATTTTCTGTAGATTTCCTGCAATTTTTATTGAAAAGACTACATTTGAAGAATTTAAAGATATCTGCGAACAAACTCATAAAGAAAAAGAAATTGAACATAATGATGAAAAAGAAATAATTGATTCTAACATTGATTTATTGGGAAAATTTCAATTCAGAAATATGTTCCTAAACATCTAATTAAATTACAGTAGAACTTTTTTTTACTTTTTTTGTCGCTGTTATTTAATAATTTAAAAAAAATCGACTCTTAAAACGTAATCACCCAAATGAATTATTTTAAACGTCGACTTTGCGCTCAAACTTAGTAATTATAAATCATTAAAAGTTTTATATGTCTCAAATGAATCCTTAAGAAATTCCCGGCAATACTACTTTCTCAGTTCAACCACCATACATTGCCGGCCACTCTCTTTAAGAGTTTTTCGATTCCCCAGTAAACAGTTATTATCATAACTCATGAAGTTCACAGATATCCACCTTATCCCCCCTCCCCATTTCATTTTTTGTGAATATAGTTTGATTTTTCTAAGTTTGTATCATCTCTTCACCAAGGCTGTTAAATGTATAGATAGTTCTAATAATAAATTTGTTCTCCAAACAGTCAGCTGTTTATCCATGTTTACCTACTGCCCCTGATCTTGGATCCCAGGGGTTCAACCGACCTAAACCGGTTCAGCCGGGAAATAGAAAATGCGGGAATGATGAATGTGTAGCATGCGCCTGGATGATCGAGGTACAGTGTACATACTTAATTCCAGTGCTTAGGATCTATTCCAGTTAGATCAAAATTCTTTAGAAGTATTTTGTTCAACTTTATGTGTTACCTTTTTCGTTTAACTGAAATAATGGAATTAAGCCTTGGCAAAAAACTTAAATTGTCTAATCTCTATATTTTCGCAACCTACTGATATAACCCTATGATATTTTACACTTAGATTATATGATGTAACAGAATCCATGATTAGAAATACCTAATGACGTTAGGTTGCAAAGATATATGGATCAGAAAATTTTGTCAGGATGAAAAGTAAAATTATATGTTTTCAGGGACCCCATTTCAGCAGTACAGTTACAAATAAACAATACCGGTTTATGCCAACAGTAACATGTACAGATACCTCACTCATCTACCTAGTCACATGTAGAAGATGTAGGTTAGTCTGGTTTATTAATCACTCATGTACCTAGTCACATGTAGAAGATGTAGGTTAGTCTTGTTAATTAATCACTCATCTACCTAGTCACATATAGAAGATGTAGGTTAGTCCGGTTTATTATTCACTTATCTACCTAGTCACATGTAGAAGATGTAGGTTAGTCCGGTTTATTAATCACTCATCTACCTAGTCACATGTAGAAGATGTAGGTTAGTCCGGTTTATTAATCACTCATCTACCTAGTCACATTAAGAAGATGTAGGTTAGTCCGGTTTATTAATCACTCATCTACCTAGTCACATGTAGAAGATGTAGGTTAGTCCGGTTTATTAATCACTCATCTACCTAGTCACATGAAGAAGATGTAGGTTAGTCCGGTTTATTAATCACTCATCTACCTATTCACATGTAGAAGATGTAGGTTAGTCCGGTTTATTAATCACTCATCTACCTAGTCACATATAGAAGATGTAGGTTAGTCCGTTTTATTAATCACTCATCTACCTAGTCACATGTAGGAGATGTAGGTTAGTCCGGTTTATTAATCACTCATCTGCCTAGTCACATGTAGATGATGTAGGTTAGTCCGGTTTATTAATGTTTATTCATTGTTTGTTGGTTTGTTTTCATTTATTGTTTGTCAGTTTGTTTCCATACATTGTTTGTTTATTTGTTTCCATTTATTGTTTGTTAGTTTTTTTTTCATTTATTGTTTGTTATTTTGTTTCTATATTTTGTTTGTTTCTTTATTTCCATTTATTGTTTGTTAGTTTTTTTTCATTCATTGTTTGTTTATTGTTTCCATTTATTGTTTGTTAGTTTTTTTCATTAATTGTTTGTTTCTTTGTTTCCATTTATTGTTTGTTAGTTTTTTTCATTCATTGTTTGTTTATTTGTTTCCATTTATTGTTTGTTAGTTTTTTTCATTTATTGTTTGTTTATTTGTTTCCATTTATTGTTTGTTAGTTTTTTTTCATTTATTGTTTGTTATTTTGTTTCTATATTTTGTTTGTAAGTTTGTTTCCATTTGGTGTTTGTTGGTTTGTTTCCATTAATTGTTTGTTAGTTTTTTTCATTTATTGTTTGTTATTTTGTTTCTATATTTTGTTTGTAAGTTTGTTTCCATTTGGTGTTTGTTGGTTTGTTTCCATTAATTGTTTGTTAGTTTTTTTCATTTATTGTTTGTTTATTTGTTTCCGTTTATTGTTTGTTATTTTTTTTCATTTATTGTTTGTTATTTTGTTTCTATATTTTGTTTGTTAGTTTGTTTCCATTTGGTGTTTGTTTGTTTGTTTCCAATTATTGTTTGTTAGTTTGTTTCCATTAATTGTTTGCTTCTATTTTATTTGTTTAATTCAAGGTATTATTAACAGATCTAAACCCCCGATTTTCTCCCATTTGAAACTTAATTGAATTGGTTTTATTTTTGTTAAGAAAACAGTATGTGGGGAAAACTCAGCAGTCCTTGAGAGAAAGACACTATGGGCATAGGTAAATTACGTTTTTTGTATTATGTAAAATGCATTTTGGATTAGTTGTTAAAACAGAGATGAGGAGTAAGGGGGAAATTGAGGAAATTTATTTTTATCAGCTGATTTTGGCTCCCACAGCAAATCTTTTTTGGATAAAATAAGATATTTTTCTCCAAAGGGAAAGGGGAAGAAAGGTTAATTTCGGTGTGTTTTAACCTTACATTGTGCATTTTATTCTAACATCAAACTCAATTTCCTTATTTCATATATGATGTTTTCCTATCTCCTTTCTTCTAACCTTTTATAAATTAAATATAAAGTAAACACAACTTTGTAGGATTTCATTTTCCTTTATTATTATTTCTTAATGTATAGGGACTGTACACCTCTACAAGAATAAATACAATATCCTATTTTTTTGGAATTATAGGAACACAACAGCTTACAAATGTCTCTTAGGACAACTAACGTTTTTTTAAGAAAAAGGTTTTTAATTTAATTACTCCGTTTGATTTTTTATTATTTAATTTAAGAATATATGTACACACTATTATCGTAAAACATTTGTATTTAATACATGTTAACAATTTTGTACAATTAATAAATCTCGATACGGAGATAATAAATATTTAGATCTCAAAAAAAAATTTAATTACTCAATCCTACGTTTTTATTCTTTATTCTTTTTTTTCTTGAATTCTTGTAAGAATAGAAAATATAATTTAAGACTCTTTTGATTTAATTTTAATGAAAATGAATTGTGGATTTTTCGCAAAAATAAGAATGATTTAAATCTTTTCTAGACAACGCAATTTAATTTGTTTTTGGAAAATCACTTCGTCTAAAAAGTTTTTCCCTTAAACCTTTTCTAGATTGCTATTTCTCCAATACAAGTCNATTATGTTGGTGTTCGCTCTCTCAGTGCTAAGAAAACGTTTCAAATCAGAGAACATTCCCAAAAGTTGTGTTAACAACATAAAAAGTTTAGTAAATGTTTGTGTGGTAGATAATTTCTAGATATATATATTTCGACAGAGCAGATATGAAAACTAAGTAATTTTTTCTTCTGCTTTCCTTTTTACTTGAAAAACAATTCTGGAAATAACCTAACTTTTTTTAGGAAATCTTGGAACCAATTTAACTTTATAGAATAGTAAAAATTATCTAGTCTCTATATTTTTAGAAGAGAAATTGATACTCAGAGCTCACCCTTGGGGAAACACTTTGCTGAAACCTGTGGAATTGACAGCTGGAGGATTCAGATTATTGGTAAATGATCATTAATCAATAAATCGATCGACAAGTTTTATTCAGATATACAAAATAATCATGATCAAACTGTCAATCTTTAGCAGGGTGGCTGGATCTTAGCTACCTCTCCGTGTGTATTGGCCTGAGTGTACACTTGGGATAGTTTACTGATCAAGGATATTAAGAGATTATGGCCTATTCAGTATTTATACAGTACAAACATCAAATATGCAGTACGCTTTCGGAGTACAAGTGTATGGGGAGGTTTTGTATCTTGAATTTTACTCAGTTTTCTCAGAACAGTTTTTAAACGATGAAATATTGCTCTTTAAAAGACTGTTAATGTACGTCTTCCCGTGAAAATGGATTCCTGCACACGATAAATGAGTAATGGATTTTAATAGTTACATCATTACATGGAAAACAAATTCTCCATTTAAATATTTTCAGAAATCACCCTAGAGTACTGTAATATACAGATTGACCTTTGGGAGTGAAGAACATGGACTGTATAATTAGTAAAGGACTAGCGTATATCATTACTCTATACTCTATAACCTCGTTGGTCTTTAGTCAACCATGATTACAAATCACTCACCAATTATTTTATTCTTTCTTTCATAATTTTTTTAAAACATCATAAGCAATGCACCCTGCAAGAGTAGTGCAAACCCTGGAAATCGGCACCGGTTTATAGAAGACGACATTCATAATATTACTTATCTTTAAACTTGTAGTACAAATTTAGTCAATCTAAAAATGATAAAGTATGATTTAGACGATGTGTAACTGTAAACCATGTACAAGTGAACTCTTATATATATATATATGTTCCTTGTTGAAAATCTGCACTTTAGATATCCACAAGTTATTTATTTTGGTGGTCGAGTCACTTGAACTAACGTCATCGGAACTATCGTTATTTTAACTTTCGTGTAATTGACATGTTTTGATTGAGTTTTGCTTTCAAGTTTTTTTGTTTTATTTAAGATTATAACGTTTTACTATTTGCATTTAAATTGTTTATGTCATAATTTTATGCAATGATCTCCTTTTTTACTGTTGGTAGTTCTTGTGATGTAATCTTTATTCTAATTACTACATTTAAAAGTAAACATCTTAGAAACATAAACAATTGTCAAAATATTCAATAGCTCAAACAACAGTAGGTCGGATATTCTAGCATCTTATTATAAAAATTCTAGAGGCATAGATTAAAAGTTTTCAAAACTCTTGCATGTTGATTAATCAATAAAACTTGAATATGATCATTTAATTAATAATATCTTCAATTTCTTTTTTGATCATTGGTCCATTAGTAATTTATTGATTAATTTAGATCAATGCCCTACTTCGGAGTTAAATAGAAGAGAAGGACATTGGATCAAAGAACTCAGGTATCTACTTCCTTTAAAGGGAGGGCTCAGGATTTTTAAAAGAAAGGGATCACGAGTTTTAAAGGGAGGGATTACGATTTTTAAAGGGATGGTTCACGATTTTAAAAGGGAGGGTTCACGATTTTCCAAAATAGGGTAGAATTGCACCAAAAATAAAATGATAAATGTTAAGCTCGTTTTTTCTATAATGCGCCTTAGTCTGGAGTTCTGAAATCTGTCAATCAAATTTTGATTCAAATCATAATTTGGTCTTTATATTGACAGTCAACTGATGCAGGCCATATAATGACGAGCTCTTATGCTCAGGCTTTAAGGTTTACTACAATGATATTCTCAATAACCTGAAACAATGTAAAAAAAAAGATATTAAGAATTTTGTTTAAATTTTCTTTTATTAAATAAAATGTTTCAGTCTGAACGAAAGACATCATTACTCCGGTAATTAAATGAAAGAACGAAAATGACAGACCACACTTTGAAAGGGGCAGAACTCGCTATGCTGTGATTATTGTTTCATAAAAAATGTTGCTAAAATCTTGAATGCCGCAAACTATTTCTAAGGTAAAAGACGACTTTGAAGTAATCGATCAATTTATATTTTTCCGGGTTATTTAGAATATCACTCTATATCAAGGAAGAGGGAAGGGGACAGGTAGAGATTCAGAGAGTTTTTCATTAAGAGTGAAATATTTTTCATGAAATATCAAGAATCAAAATGGTATTCTTCTAGGAACTCTTACTTACTAAAACATGTTTACGAAAGGCATTTTTCATAAAAATTAAAAATGGCCGCGGAGCCAATATTGCGATGGCAATTCTAAATTTCTGTGACAAATACCTTATGTATACAATACATATCTTAGAATTTCTAGAAGAGTACATTTTTGATTCTTGATAATTATTCTAGAATAATATTATTATTCAATTTATTTCATAATTTAGTATTTTCTAACCTTTTTTATGTTTCAGCTCCTTATCCCCTGTTGGGCTTAATATCAGAGATGAAACCCGAGGAAACAAAAATATTCATTGAACCTGCTTTGCAGTAAATAGCAGTCAATTCAATTCAAATCCAGTAATAAATCTCAAGGGAACCAAATGTGAAAGAGAACATTTTATTTGATATTTCAATCGCGTAAAACTATTTGCACCTTTAAGTATTATTATGTTAATAATACTGTTAATAATAATAATGTTTCTCTAATTGGCCTTCTAATTTACTCAAAACCTTCCCCTTTTATACTTTTCCTCTTCCCCACCTATCTCTTTCCCCACCTTTCTCCTTCCCTACCTTTCTCCTTCCCTACCTATCTCTTTCCCCACCTTTCTCCTTCCCTACCTATCTACTTTTTTTTAACGAGTTATTATCTTTTTTAGAAATTTGCAATAACAGAAATTACAAATCCTATATTTTCTCAGACACTAACATAGATCTTCTTAAGCAAAACAATGATGTTATCAGTGAGTATACTATGCATATATTGTCTTCAGGCTTTTCCCTTTAAATTTTGCGGCCTCGCGATTTGTAAATTTACAAAGTTTTGCACTTCTAGACCATATTATAACTAATGATAGCCCAAAAGATACCAACGTTTTCCAAAATATCCAATCGATTTCAGACCATAATACAATATTTTTATCGATAATTCTTGATATAAAACACAACAAAAATTCATTTCAAATCTGAAAAGGAACATGAATGATAATAACATAAAATCGTTCAAAACTGCGCTTGAAAAAGAAAAATGGAATAATGTATTTTTATCTCAAACTGCAGAGATGGCGGCAATAGAATTTAATCAAACATTTTTCATGAATTTTGAAAAATATTTTCCTTTACAAAAAAATAATAATAAAAATGCAAGAAAAGTACCCCTAAACCAATTCATGACAAAGGAACTTCTTTCATTGAGAGCGCAAAAACTATCTTTTTATACTATTTTTCAGCAAACTAAAAAGTTTAATGTATGCAGAAACATTTATAATAGAAAAATAAGACAAGGTAAGAAGATCTATTTTAGTAAATTAATAGGTTGCCAAAAACGAAATCCTAAGAAAATGTGGGATACATTAAAAAACATTACAGGGATGGGAAACAAGCCCAACCAGAGTTCAATCAAAATTGACTCCATTAAGACGGAAAACTCAATTATCTCAGATCAAGTTATTATTGCTAATGAGTTCAATAAATATTTTTCATCTATTGGCCAATCTAAAGCAGAAGCTATTCCTAAAGTAGATAAAGATTTTTCCGAATTCCTTCCGCCCTCCTCCATCCATTCTTTTGCTTATTTTCCAACTGATCCAGTAGAAATAATGAAAGAATTAGAAAGACTCGAAAACAAAACCTCTGAGGATATTAATGGAGTTTCAGGAAAATTGCTTAAAAACATATCTACAGAAATAGCCCCTGCTTTATCTTACATTTGTAATTTAAGCCTTGAGACAGGTGTATTCCCTAATTGTTGGAAAATGTCCAATTCCAATTCCAATTCCAATTCCTATTCTTAAAAAAGATAAAAAAGACGACTTATCCAATTTTCGTCCAATTGGATTAATCAACGGATTTTCTAAAATATTGGAAAAAATTCTGCATAAACGAATGCTTTCATTTCTCAACAAAAATAACTTTTTTAAAACAAATCAATTTGGTTTTTCGCCAGGACGCAATGTTATGCAAGCAATTACTAAGCTTTTAAACTATATTTTCAGCGCACTAAATAATAATGAATTTGTTTGACTTATCATGCTAGATATTTCTAAAGCTTACGACTGTATTGATTACAAGATACTTCTAAAAAAGCTTGACAACGCAGGAATTAGGGGCAACACATTACAGTGGTTTGAATCTTACTTACGGGGCAGGGGCAAAAAGTCAATATAAATGGTACCTTCTCGGACTTAGTCGAAATATTAGAGATGGGTCTTGTTCAAGGATCAAGTCTAAGCTGTTTACTGTTCATTATATATGTAAATGACTTCTTTCAATCTAACACACTTTTCAGTTTAGCCTTTGCCGACGACACAAATGTGGCATCAAAATGTAAAAACTTGAATACTCTAGCAGACACAATAAATAAAGAATTAGAAAAAATAACTTGTTGGTACATGTCTAATAAACTTACTATCAACTTTGAGAAAACTAATGCAATTTTATTTTCAAATTCTCTAAATGCACAAAACGACTGTCCTGAGGTTTTCTTTAATTAGGAGAATCTGCACGAAAAATTGAACGAATAAAAGAAACAGATTCAGTGAGATTCTTGGGAATATGGCTGGACACAAAATTGAACTTTAATGACTATTTTAAAAAGATATACAAGCGGTTAACTTTTTCACTTTATGCTTTGAAAAAAATGAAAAACTTTTTAAGCTTTGAAACCATGAAATTGCTCTATTACTCCTTTTTCCACTCCCATTTAGAATTTAGTTCAACATTCCTAATGCTAACTTCAAACAAAAATATTGATAAGATAGAATCATTGCAAAAGAAAGCTATACGTCTTTTGATGGGGTTACCTAGAATAAGTCACACAGCGGAAGCTTTTTGGGCTTTAAACATACTCCCCTTCAGAAAATTAGGAATTTTTAATGTAATAAAATTTTTATTTCAATTAAAAGGAGATCAATTACCCCCAACATTTAAAAAAGATTTCATATATCAAAAAATATCAAAAACGCAAATCTTAGAAACAGAAACGATTTTTATATTCCTAGAATAAAATCTATTAAAATTGGACTGCTCCCTCCTCACAATTTCCCTAAAATATGGTATGAAAATAAACGACACTTTTCTAAGCTTTTAACAAATATCAATCTTATTTCGAATTTTAAACAGAATTTAATAGAAGATTTTTATCAGCAGAACGTTTTAATTCTAACACATGCTATGTTTGCAAAAGAATCGAAGAAACCAAAGACGATTTTACATAGAAAAGAATAAAAAGATTAATATGAGTAAAAAATATAATCAAACATAAAGGATGTCAAAAATCAGCGCGAATAAAAAAGATGCTTAAAAATGCCCGTTTTTCATAGAACCTATATCTTTTTCACACTCCATAAAGCTTTTTTTTTACTTTTTTTTTAACATTACAAATAAATGTTTAATTTTTATTTCTAAAAGTTGTTAGTTCATCGTCAAAAAATATTAACAATCCACCACTAATTTAAATATAGTATAAACAATAAATATGTAACTTTCCTTATACTTTCCTTTTCCTTTTATTTTTAGTTTTATATTTTTTTTAGAATTGGGGGGAAATATTCCCACAACCTCTACTTTTAGAGGTTTTTAAATATTTTCTCCTGAAACACTTTATTTTGTATGTTTTTGTTATATTTCATAAATAAATAATTTTTTACTTTTACTTTACTTCCCATCCTTCCCCCTCCCTACCTTTCCCCCATCCCCATCCTTGCCTTTCTTCCTCTGTTACCCTTTTCCTTTACTTTCTTCTTCCCCTTTTCCTTTCTTTTTCTTCTTCCCCTTTTCCTTTCTTCTTCCCCTTTTCCTTTCTTCTTCCCCTTTTCCTTTCTTCTTCCCCTTTTCCTTTCTTCTTCCCCTTTTCCTTTCATTTTTCTCCCTTTATTCACCCTTTTTCTTTCCCATTTTCTTTTATCTTTTTCTTCCCCTTTCCCTTCCCTTTTTCCTTCCCCTCCCCTCCTCTGGGTCTCCAGGGGGAGGGGGGGATGATATTATTTTTGCTAAAATAATTTTTTGATCATTTATCAATTATCAGAAATCTAAAATGATTTACAGTTTGAGTCTAAATTCCCATTGTGACACCCTTCTTAGAAATAAGACTTTAGTACCTAAGAATAAAGAATAGAAATAAGAATTACCTCTCTTGGCCTATTTTTGTATTTTGTACCTGAGAATGCTCAGATTTAAAACAACTATGTATCTCTACAATAAAATTAATACTCTCAAACTCTGATTTTTGAATCCTTATTTCTTTGCGACCTAGTGCCATATTATATGCAAAGATATTAAAGTTTGAAGCAAGTGTTCTTGTTAAAAAATCAACTCCATAGTAATTTTTGATACAGTTTGTTTATATAATATATATTTGTTTGTTAAATAATCATGTATACTATACACTGCAATACAGCTTGTATAATGCATATTGCAAATATTTGTTAAATTAATCTTTTATTCTGTGAATACTGATGAATGAGGTCTTGTAAAAATATACCAATGGACATTGAAGAAACAATTTTCATTACATTAAAATAGTTGAAATATAAATAAACAATTAATTTATCAGTTTTTATTGTTAAATTTAGATAATAAGAACTTTAGTTTTATTAGTTGTATAAGTGCATTTATTAGTAAAACATCCAGTACCAGTGTAATCTGAGATTAAGTATTATTAACTAGAACTACTGCTCTAATTCTTTTTGATGAAAGAAGATGAATGATTATTGTTCTTGAATATTCTTGAATACTTCATGAATCAACATGGCCATAATAAAAAACAATGCCCAAGCTTGAGGCACTAGTCTTAAAAAGTTTTAGGAACATTTTGTAAATTTAATTTTTTTTTGTAAAAAAAGTTTATGTTGAAGGGTTTGCAGAATTGTGAATATCTGCAATGAGCTGTGAGGCCATTCTCTGCTTTTCTCCCAGTTCTCCACTCTCTGAAAAAAAATATGTAATTTATGTAAATCAATATTTAGTTTTCCATTTTGTTATGATGCGGATCCGGATCCAGGACGGGAATACTTCTACAAGATTTACTGATTATTTAACAAATGAAAAAATTTCAAATATTTTAAATCTTTTTGTCTTTTGCTTAAACTTGATGAATTAATTAGAAATTAGAAAGATTTTAGTTATTTCTTATTGGTAATATATGTAAGATTTGCGTTTTGAGATCAAAAGCTTTTTTTTAATAGGTTTGGTTATAATTTTGTCCCTTGGATCCGGATCCGTGAATCTGCATATTTTTCCGGATCCAGGAAGCCAAAATGTTTCGTTTTTTACAATCATATGTTAATCAAACCCTACTGCACAAATATTCGATCAGAAGTTTTTAAAAAATTTTCTGTCAGAAACCTTAACATCTGATTTTTTGGAGAAAAAAATCTAAAAATGTACTTTCTTTGAAGTGTACTTTGTACAGGGTTACCCACAAAGGATGAGACTTTAGAGACGTGTGTACGGATTTTGTTTAGCCCGTTCTAAAATTTGCTTATTTCTGTGGTAAACCATCAAAATATACAACTGCAAAAACCGAAAATCAAGATCTTTAGAGTTTTGAGTCGTCTTTACAGTCTCTGTTTTGTTGGTAACCCTGTAGATATTGTTAAACTCACCTAAATGTTTGATCTCTCTATCTAGTATTCTAGCCGAGGTTTGAATCTCCTGGTGTGTTGGTGAGGAGGGGGAGAAGGACGGGTTTAGCTTTTGTCTCATCTCCTCTCTCTCCTCGGATAGGTAGGCTTGAATCTGGTCCAGGGCCTTCACGTGGATTCTTACTAAATTATTTTGAGAAAATTTGACATGTTTGTCAGTCTGTTTCAAAGAAACGTCACGACGTTCAAATAGGTTCAAAGGAATTGAGTCTTCGCCACAAACTCAAATTTTCTAATCCCTGCATCTTTGAAGCCGGATGCCCTAAACTTTTGACATTTTAAACTTAGATTATTTGACCTGACAGATTTCATAGTTTGAATAATCTAAGGTCTACATTATTGGGTTGCAAAGATATAGGGATCAGAAAATCGGAGTTTGTGGCAAAGATTCAATTTCTTTATTTGTGGCAACTCAAAAGGCCCCAGGAGATATTAAAAGTAAACAATTTTGCCCAAGAAAAAAGTTTGTTTTCTTCATTCTAGAAATCTTTTAAAAGGCAGTACACACTACACAACCGGGCATATGATTAGTATTTATGAACGTAATTTTTAGCATTACCCACGAATAAAACTAACATTAACCCTATTACGATGGGAGAGGGTTTACCAATCCGCCCCCCCCCCTGTGTTGTTTTTTCTTCCACACCTAAAGAACGGTTTGAAATAGAGTGCTCAAACTTCTTTCCTTTTTTCAATTCTTAAATTTTAAAGTTAGAGGTCAAATTTTGTGTTACGAGATGGACGTTAAAGAGTTAGACTATGGACATGTATCACACTTCTCTATCTGAACGCATAGGAAAAAATCATAATTTACTGAGATCAACAAAATTTACTCTTATAGACAATTCTGTACTGCCAGATTTTTGCTAAAACAACTTGTAAATATATTACAAGCTTTTATTAAAAATCTGTCCGCAATCATACACGATTTTTGCATGTATATGTACATCCGGAGTTTGTTCTGTTTTAGGAGTTTGTCATGACGACATCTTGCTCCAGTAATGCACTCAACCTTTTAAGACTGATTTAACTTAAATATATAATTCTTAAATCTTGGTTTGTAAGATTCCATTCCTGTATTTTAGATTTGAAGATCTGATTCTCCTCCGTCTTATTGAACTCAAGTTCTTTTATCTTCATTTTTAAACTTATCTTCTCTGCCAGGAGTTCTTCTACTCAATCAGATACAAATAATATTTCAGACTGTAAGAGATTTTATGTGAGCTACCATATGTCCGATGCGCAACGGTACCCTAATATAACCTTTATTCGAATTCGCAATAAGGGGTTTTCATTCTTGATATTTGTTTCTTGATAAGTGATGAAATCTGGCATTTCCTATGGATTGGCTTTGTGCATAAATACGCAAAAACCTTTGACAGAGAAGCCTCAGTTTAAAGTATTAAATTTTTATATAGAATAGCTAGGATATTTCAATCATTTTTCATCAGACAAAGTTTTTTTAAGTACCGTTGTGAATTTGATCTTTAAATGGAGGGTCACTTGAAATTACGAAATAATGGTCTCCAATCTCAATTATTAGCATGGCTAAACTATGCTATTTTGTCGTTGATCAGTTATATATCTGATTTACAATTAGATTTGTAAAAGGTCATGTTGGGATTACAGTTTTTTACCATGTCTTAGTTTTAGAAAAAATCATCAACTGTAGGTGTCCCATGAAAAATGGCAGTGATAAATAGTTATGAATGTCGTCTTCCCTATTCTGTATGAGATATTTTCTATTTGCTGTTTATTTCGTGAAACAAATCTTTTGTTTAAATATATTTACTTTGAAATCAATTTTAATACAACATGACTCCAAAATAATATTATTAATATTAATATTATTGTCTTTGGTATCAAACAACTTAACAAATTATGTTAGAAGACATTCTAATCTATTTACCAACTGTCATGTTTCGTGGGACCCGGACACCCTGTACCAGCATTAAATTTTAATTGTTTTGTTTATCAAAATAATAAAATGCAGACCTTTTATATTTTGAAAATAAAAGAAATCTTCAAAATTTATTGAATTTTCATGAAATGCAAACCATTTTAGCAAAACAATTAAAATTCGAACTCCATTGATAGATTTCCGTTAAATTATAAAATTTCCTGTTTTCATAAAACAAAAATATTTCCATCTTTCCTAATTTCTTCTTAAGATCGTCCTCCTCGTTGGTTCTGTTTGATGGTTGAGGTTGGGTTGGTTTCTGCATCTCCAGGTCCTTGAGGAGTAGAGCATGTTTCTCTTGAACCCCGGAGTTAAGTTTATCAATCATCTCTCTAATGTTCGCCAGTTCACTCTCTACAACAATCCATGTTTTTTTTTTCTTGAAGTTTAAAATTTTAGTTCAATTTAGGCGCAAAAGCTTTTTCTACTGCTGTAGAACATAGCTAAATATTTACAAAGCGAAAAGCTATTTTCTACTGCTGTAGAAATCTTGTATTTTTTTGGGCGGAAAGCCTACCACAATGCTGTGGTATATAAAAGTATAGATGCGAAAAGCTCTGCCACACTGTTGTGAAGTTTTAAATCAGCAACGAAAATACATTGGTTAAGTTTTGTATTGATACAACAAAAAGTGTTTTGAAAAAAAAATCAATTTTTGAATCGTCGTTAAATATTTTTTATTCAACATAAAATTTATAATTGTTTGTTTGATAAAAACAAAAACAAATTTCAGTTTCTTGCAACCTCAATTATTTATCCAAAAGTTGGAAAGCTAATATTTCTTTTTTCCAAGAACTGCTACTAATGTTTGTAAGTTTTTGATAAGGCGGATTCTAACATTTTTTTTAACTTGGAAACTAATTAATATTTACAAGGAAATGACTTTCCATCTGAAAAAAGTTGATTTTAAAATTGCTATGCGAGACTTCTACACGTGTTTTAGTATTTTTTAAAATTGCATAAATCATTTTAAATTGCACAAAGTGCGCCCAAAGGCGCACATAGCTAGTAAAATGCAGCTTCTGGGTTTCAAGAGCGCTTTATGTCTGCATTAAAGTAAACTAAAGTGCCTGACGTTGCCCGTGAAATTTTCAAAACACCATGAGAAAAAATATTGGAATTTTGAAGAAAAAAAAAAAATTTTGAGTAAACATTTTTGTAATTTTACCTGACCTTTCAGGGGTTATTTGTGAGTTGTCAAAACAAAGTTAGAAAATCAAAATTCGTATAATTGTATTTTTGAGCTTGTGACATGGATTGCCTAGGAGATCTGAGAACTGATTAGGATTGTAATCTCGTCCCTCCTTAATGTTCTCCAGGTTCTCAAACCAGGATCCCATCTTATCCTCAACATTCTTTAAAGGGACTGTCAACGTATTTTCAAATGACCCTAAACCTTTAAAAAAGGAACCTGTCCGATTCACAATCGTACCTTTTACCCTTTATCGGACTTACATAAAGGGAGATATTGCCGATAATTTTTTTAAAAATTTGTTTCGTTGTCTCTCAAACATGCAATTGAAAATAAAAATAACTTAGCATTTTGTAGGTTAGGTTAAGATATATCGAGTACCATTGTGAATCATCGATTCTGTTTAAATGAAGACTTGAAATTTGGTCGACTGTTCCTTTAATGCAATCCTCTCTACCAACTCCAGCTGTATCTTCTCCAGGTCCTCCTTCAGGTTCACGTTCTCCTTCTTCTTCCTCTCCACCTCCAGCTTTATGTCCTCCAGCTTAGTCACACTTCCAGCATAATCCTGCCCAAAACATATTTTTAAAAAAAAATATTTTAAAATGTATTTGCTTTTTCGACACTAAACTTTGACCCTGAAATATAAACAAATTTCCTACTTTAACGATTTTTTGTGGAGTAATTTTTGAGACCAGACAACTTTCATCAATTATTAAAATATTTGAGTACTCAAACTTCTTGTTTAAATACTTAAATTTTGGTCATGATTTGCATTACGAATCCTACAGGATGAGCTCTCAGAGACGACTATACGGAATGTGTTTAATCCTTTATCTTGCATTCATGATCCTCTAAAGACTTAAAACAACATGTTTTCCGTTAGGTGTATCTGCCGCGTGTAATCATTGTATACAAAACAAATGAAAAAAAATATGAAATATTAAATATATACGAATGCGTCGAAAAATAATCGACGACTATAGGCTGTAATTTCTGAATGATTTGTTTGGAATTAAAATGATTTTTTACTCTCCGAGTCGTATATTGCAATTTTCTGAATTTGTATGGACGCCCGTTCTTCAGTATAAGTCGTTTTTAATAATTTTCTCATACACGCAACAGATAGAAGTAAGATAAGTAGCGATCGAAAGCGATTATTTTTCGCCGTAAGCCTATACCCCTTTCATTTTTGTGAACACTCCCTTTAAGAAATAGAATTAAAAAATAATAAATCATTTACCTGATTCTTTTCAAGTATCTTTTGGTGTAGCTCCTTCTCCTTATTGCCCCGGAGCATCATCTTGTTCTTGTTCATCTCTATCTTCTCTTGGAGGACTGTGTTCCCCCTCGTCTCCTCCTGGATCTGGATCTCTAGTTTAGTCACGATGTTGTTCAATTCAATAAACTCCTAAATCAAAGGGATTGATAACAAAATTTAGAAATGAGCGGCTGGTAAACATTAACGGTGTTAAAATTGAAACACAAATAGAAATAAAAGTTCAGTTTTATAAATATTTATAAAAAATATTTTACTGCAAAAAATGTCAAGAACACATTTAAAAATTCAGAAGCTGTGAACAGAAGGATATATAATTATTTCAGAGGTATTTATTTTGGAGAACCTACACAACTTTACTTAATGAACGTTTCCTCATTGCACGTTTTTCACTGAACGGTTTATTACTGAACGTTTCAAACACAAAACCTTTCCTGCCACCAAACGTTTCCTGCCACTAAACGTTTCCTGCTACAAAACGTCTCTTTACAAAACCTTTCATTACAAATTAGGAAACGTGTTGTTTAGGAAACGTTTTGTGAGGAAACATTCAGAAAGAAAATGTTTTGTAAGGACCCGGTGGCGAAAAATTTTTGTGTATGAAACATTTTGTAAAAAACCTTTGGTAAGAAAACGTTCTGTAAGGAAATGTTTTGTACGTGCTTCTTTCCCGTCTGAAAATATTTTCCCCCATTGTGTTAGGAAGTATTGTGTTAGGAAGTATTGTGTTAGAAAGTATTGTGTTAGGAAGTATTTTGTTAGGAAGTATTGTGTTAGAAAGTATTGTGTTAGGAAGTATTGTGTTAGGAAGTATTGTGTTAGGAAGTATCGTGATTTTAAGATTTTAGAGGTTTTGGTCCTACACTGTCTCGTAGAGATGATTTGACCTTAAAGTTTAACCTTAGTATGACATATTTATTTTCTTAGTTTTTGTTAAAAATAGATTAGAAAAAATATTGAATAAACAAACTACTGAATACTAAGGGAATATCAAGCTTATCTCTCATACAGGAAAATCATAGTAAATCTTGAAAACAATGAATTAAGATTTGAAAAACTTCAGTTGAAAATCTTTCAAAATAATCTGTGTAATTAAAAATCCATTAAGTTAAAGAAACTGTAAGCATAACTTCAAGTGACCCTCCATGTAAAGATGGCAAAGCCATAATCACAAAGGTCTCTGTTTTATTGCATATGTACCCTACAGTTCCACAAAACTTGACAGTAAAAAAGACGACTTGAAGGCCGTCTCACATCTTTGAAATTATTTGCGGCATCTGTTTTTCAACCTATTTTTACATGTATGACTTACTCTCTTTCTCCTGACATTTCCTAAATGTGGTCTGCCTTTTTTTGAGCTGTCAATAATTCCGGCGTGATGCACAAATAAGGCAGACTGTACATTTTGTATAAGCCAAAACTAGATTTTTATGTGATTATTAATTTTAAAACTAGGCTTACGAGTAAATGCCACAAATTATTCAAAGATTACAAACGACATTAAAGTCATGTTGTTACTGTCATGTTTCATGGGACACCCTGTTTAACACTTTTCACATTTATCTTAATACTTTATACTGTGCAAATTGATATAGTTGCACATTGGTCGGCCCGGAACCACAGTTAAATATCTTGGACATCTCATCGTCTCCTTCTATCCTTCTACTGTGTTACCTACCTTGGACATATTCTGCATCTCCAGGTTAAGGTTAAATGTTATCTCCTCATCTCCTTACCATGGACATATTCTGCATCTCCAGGTTAGGGTTGAATGTTATCTCCTCATCTCCTTACCTTGGACATATTCTGCATCTCCAGGTTAAGGTTAAATGTTATCTCCTCATCTCCTTACCATGGACATATTCTGCATCTCAAGGTTAAGGTTGAACGTTATCTCCTCATCTCCTTACCTTAGACATATTCTGCATCTCCAGGTTTAGGTTGAGTGTTATCTCCTCATCTCCTAACCATGGACATATTCTGCATCTCAAGGTTTAGGTTGAATGTTATCTCCTCATCTCCTTACCTTGGACATATTCTGCATCTCAAGGTTAAGGTTGAATGTTATCTCCTCATCTCCTTACCTTGGACATATTCTGCACCTCAAGGTTAAGGTTGAATGTTATCTCCTCTCATCTCCTTACCTTGGACATATTCTGCATTTCTAGGTTTAGGTTGAATGCTATCTCCTCATCTCCTTCCATCCTTCTGTTCTCTTGGATAACAGTTTTAAGCCTCCTGGACTCAGAAACCAATGTTTTAAAAATTTTAAATTGTGTAAGTCGATTTGACGTCTCAACTTTTATCGGTAGGAATGGGGAAAGCTTGGTTCCCAAATTCCCAAGCTTTTATGAAATATTTTTTAAAATCTTTAATTTAATTTAATTTTTTTAATAATTAGGGCCCCCGGATTAATGTACAATATGTTTTATTATTGTAATCTATCGGTTGTCTGTTGTATAGTGTATTGCCAATTATTATCAATTATAATCACCTACCTAAAAATAAAACATTTATCTCTATTCTTTATATATATATTCATGTATTAAGTTTTTTATTAAAAATGTTACACAAGACTTGGAAGTATGAGTGTTTGTTTAGCCTAGTCATTTTATCTTTCAGCATTGTTTAATATTTACTTTCAATTCAGATTCAAGGAGAAAATAATATTTCTCAAGGACATAAACATAAGATTTAGGGATTCTAAATAAATACTAAAATTGCAATTTTTATTAAAAAATATGTTATTATTTGAAAATTCATTGTCGCAATATAGAAGCAGGGGGGGGGTTNGGTAGTGCAAAGCATTGCTTCCTGTTTCGGTATAAAGTATTGGTTCCTGTTTCAATACAAAGTACGTATTGGTTCCTGTCTAAATACAAAGTATTGGTGCCTGTTTCAGTACAAAGTATCGGTTCCTGTTTCAGTACAAAGTATTGGTTCCTGTTTCAGTACAAAGTATTGGTTCCTGTTTCAGTACAAAGTATTGGTTCCTGTTTCAGTACAAAGTATTGGTTCATGTTTCAGTACAAAGTATTGGTTCCTGTTTCAGTACAAAGGATTGGTTCCTGTTTCAGTACAAAGTATTGGTTCCTATTTCAGTACAAAGTATTGGTTCCTGTTTCAGTACAAAGTATTGGTTCCTGTTTAAATCTGGAAGACTTGTAATTTTCTCTCCGACAGCTTCTGTATCATCTAAACCAAAATGAAACGAAAGGTGAAATAAATAGGGTTTATTATCACATTTAGCTGTGACATATTGGGTTACCCACCAATAACGAGACTTCAAGGAGGATTGTACCGAATCTTTATTGTCTGTTTTCTCAAATTTATAATTAACTGCAACTATAAACATAGTTCTTATTTAGCCCCCCCCCCCCCCCAAAAAAAGGGCTTTTCATACTTTAATAACAATAGAGGACTTTTTATTTAACCTTTACGTACACCCGGTGTGCATTTGCATATCTGAGATGGGCCAACCTTTATGGTCCTAGGTTGGACTGTACCTCTAATTTACAATTACTAAAGCGGCAGCCCTGTTTAATTATAATTGTAATGTCTTTGCAGTCTTATCCTTTGTGGGTAACCCTGTACTTAAACTGCTAAAGAAAAGAAACAACGCCAACGCTTGTCACGACCGATAAAATCATAATCTAACACCAATCGCGGGTAAACGGCGGGAGTAACTAGGACTAAAATTTGAACATAGGCAACGCCATGGGTTCTCCAGTTAATGGTTTCATCTAGAGGTCATAATACGTCACAGTAAAATATGTACAGTGTACATATTTTATGTACACATACCCTTCATCCTCACTTGTATATATGGGGATGGGCAAATAGCCAGATTAGTTTTAAAAACTTTTAATGTTTTAAACTTTTAAAAGGTTTTACGACAATATGAGAAGGTTTCAATATTTTAAAACTGTTTTTGAAGAAGTTAGCATTTATCAAACAGAAGCAAATAAAAGACAAAAACGATAGTTTTGGTCCGTGTTTACCCCATTATTTTCACCTAGGATGACAAATTTGCATGTTCTGTAAAAGAACAATTCTACAGAATATAATTTTTTAATCGTTGAATGTAAAACCTTTTAAAAGTCTTAAGATATTGAAAGTTTCGGTATTTCGAATCTAGCTATAGCTTATCGCTACAACTGTATGCACTATGGATTAAGAATGTAAAATCTATTTGTATCGCAGTATGAAAGAAGCTTGCCCATTCATTGCAAACTTTTTGCCTTGATTGGGAAACAAGAGAAAATAATTAAAAAGAAATAATTATGTTAAAAAAATGTTCAAGAACCAGTAAAACTTTTGCAAAAGATTAATCATCAAAACAGAAAATTTTAATAAAAATAAATTCATTCAGAACTTTTTGGAAAGGAACAAATAAAACGCTTAATTTGAAAAATATTAGACGAAATGCATAATTTATAATTTATCAGAAATGTTCATTTATTATTCTAAACAAACTAAATATCATTTTAAATAAAATTATGTTTTTCAAAGTTCTAGATAAACAGAAAATACGACTTGTTATGAGAAAAAAACGAAAATATTATCAAGTAATAGAAATACTATTTGGTTTCTACCAAAAACAACAATATTAAACTATTAGAAAACTACTTTATCTGATAATCACAATAAAAAACTAAGTTTTTATGTTTTTCACTAATTTAGATTAAGAAAATTAACAACTGTTAACAATCAGTTAAAGGAGCTGATTATTCACCTCAAACTCTAGATCATTGCAACCTGTGGTGTAAACCATTAATTTTCTCCATGATATAGCAGAATTTTTTGACGTGATTAGTTTGCAAAGATATAGGGTTAATGATAAGTGATCATTTTCACTTATATTTTCATTTTCATATTTTTCAGTCTGTGTTCAGAATTTACCTAAATCTGAATCAGAAGAGTCTGAAGTAGAATCCTTCATAAGCTCTAGACCATCTTCCTCGTCAATATTAATAGTTTGATCTGCTCCTAGAGCTAGAGAGGGTCACTTTTTTAATTTTCGACTTTTTTATTTTGTTCATTGAACGATCGTTGTTTTCTTTTGTTCGGAAAAATCGTTGACTCGGATTTAACAATGTTGTTCCAAAAAATCACTAAAAAACAATAGTTTTTTCTAAATCTTTTGGAAAAATCGTTTTTTCAGTGAAAAACAATCGTTTTTTTAATTTTATTCCAAAAAATCCTTCGTTCAGCAAAAAAAAAACTACCGTTTTTTCAAGTTCGGTCGAACGACTTTAAATCGTTCGTTGTTTTGGTTAATTTAAAAAAACGTAAATTTCTTATTTCTCTTGCCGATCCAATTTTGTTCGGCTATTGTGCGTTTTTTTGTGCTATTGTGCGACACCCTTTTCCACGAAAAATTTCGTTCGTTTTCAAAAATTGTGTTCGTTCAATAATCGATGCCCATCTCTACCTAGAGCATCCTTTCCATCCTCTGCTGCTATATTATCCTCGATTAAACAAACCTCGCTAAAGTTTCCTGTCGTGGTTTCTTGGTTGGCAGGACTATCATGATAATATAGATAAAATCAAATTATTAAATAAAATCTTTGTTTTAAAAAAAATCTTTGCTTCTCTTATTTGAAAATGCAGTATGTTAATAAAGGAATTGAGTCTTTGAAACAAACTCTGATTTTATAAACCCTGTAGTTAGAAATATCGAAGGTTAACATCATTGGGTTCCAAAGATATAGGGATTAGAAAGAACGAGTTTGTGACAAAGACTCAATTCCTTTACAATTTACAAAAATGTTTAAAAATAGCCATTCCGCAATTTCACCATTTATATCTAATTTTTCTAAACTGTTATCTTTGTTAGAAAAAAATCTTTGCTTCTCGTATTTGAAAATTCATGCAGTACTAATAAATTTACAATTTATGAAAATATCTTAAATATTGTCACTCTACAATTTGACCTTTTAAATCAAATTATTCTCCACTCTTATCCCTTTATATTCATTTAACATCCTTGCCTCTTATTTTAAAATACAGAACTAACACATTTTTTTTATTTTTAATAGATTTCAAGTATACCCTTCACTACTTAAATTGACAACAGTATCCTAAAGTGTTCTTGGGAAATTGTCACTTGGGAAGTCCCCCTTGAAATACGCTTGCAGTCCCTTTAAAATGACCAATTTAAAACCCGATAAAAGGTCTAATAAAAACATTTTTAGTGAATTGTTAATTGTACAATGTATGTATGTACAGTTCGAAATTACGTGTCAATTATCCGGATGATAATTTTATTTTATATCCCTGAGTTTCCAGCTGAGAATATTTCCATTTTCTAAATCCATTTCAGCAAACCTCACTCGTCTCCCTCCTAGTTAAAGAGAACAGAGTGGAATTCAGTCAAAAAAGTGTAAAACCGTCATTCTGTTGTACTAATTCCATACTGCAGGTGTTTTTCACACATTGGTACAATATAACCTTTTGGGCCCTGGAACATCTTTTTATAGAAAAGTAGAAAGAAAGAAAAAACTCTTGAAATTTTTTTCATTTTCTCTAAGTCTATCTCTGACAACCTGTCATGTATTCCCGAGTTAATTTCAGCATAAACTTTATGAACTTTATGAAAAGAAGAAATTGTATCGGATTTGTCCAGGGATCATAAACCTCCAGGCTCAAAGGGACTGAACAAATTCATACCGAGGGATAGTTTTATTTCCCTTCTATTCTAATCTCTGTTCTGTCCAATTCTATTCTAATCTCTGTTCTGTGCAATTCTATTCTAATCTCTGTTCTGTGCAATTCTATTCTAATCTCTGTTCTGTCCAATTCTATTCTAATCTCTGTTCTGTCCAATTCTATTCTAATCTCTGTTCTGTCCAATTCTATTCTAATCTCTGTTCTGTCCAATTCTATTCTAATCTCTGTTCTGTCCAATTCTATTCTAATCTCTGTTCTGTCCAATTCTATGTAAATGAATCGGAAAAATTATTGAAAATCAGGGTTTGTTTGCTGAGAGTTTTCTTTATCACAAATCATTCTTTGATGAAAAGCTTTCTCCATTTTGTAAATGCAGAATTTCTGTAAAAATTTAAATATAGACTGATCCTAATCCTCCTGAATTTAAAGTTTTTTTTTAGATTTTTGAGAACGTGGGCTGAAGGAGCTGAAGAAAATACAGAGAACCTTTTCAACCTTTCATTTATAGTTAAAAAGTAACCCAACACTATTTTTGGGAAACATGTGATTTTGTTACAAATTCTTACCTAAGCTTTCCTCACCGATAGAGTTGAATCCAAAGACCTCGACGTCCAAACTTTTAGACATTAGTTTCTCCTGCAGAATCAAACAATGTTTGATTTTAAAGGGACTGTTATTGGAAATCTTTAATGATCTTCCATTTGAAGAGGTCAGGGGTGTCCGATTCGCAAGGATACCCTTTATAACTTTATCCGATTTAAAATGTGCTAGATTTCTAACTTGAAATGTGTTTATTCTAACAACTAGTTTTTTAGCTTGAAAAGTGTTTATTCTAACAGCTAGTTTTCTAGCTTGAAAAGTGATTATTCTAACAACTAGTTTTCTAGCTTGAAAAGTGTTTATTCTAACAACTAGTTTTCTACCTTGAAATGTGTTTATTCTAACAACTAGTTTTCTACCTTGAAATGTGTTTATTCTAACAGCTAGATTTCTAACTTGAAAAGTGTTTATTCTAACAGCTAGTTTTCTAGCTTGAAAAGTGATTATTCTAACAACTAGTTTTCTACCTTGAAATGTGTTTATTCTAACAGCTAGATTTCTAACTTGAAAAGTGTTTATTCTAACAGCTAGATTTCTACCTTGAAAAGTGTTTATTCTAACAACTAGATTTCTACCTTGAAATGTGTTTATTCTAACAACTAGTTTTCTAGCTTGAAAAGTGTTTATTCTAACAGCTAGATTTTTAACTTGAAAAGTGTTTATTCTAACAGCGAGATTTTTAACTTGAAAAGTGTTTATTCTAACAGCTAGATTTCTAACTTGAAATGTGTTTATTCTAACAGCTAGATTTCTAAAAGCGACTATTCTAACAGCTAGTTTTCTAACTTGAAAAGTGTTTATTCAAACAGCTAGTTTTCTAACTTGAAAAGTGTTTATTCTAACAGCTAGATTTCTAACTTGAAAAGTGTTTATTCTAACAACTAGTTTTCTAGCTTGAAAAGTATTTATTCTAACAGCTAGATTTCTAACTTGAAAAGTGTTTATTCTAACAACTAGTTTTCTAGCTTGAAAAGTGTTTATTCTAACAGCTAGATTTCTAACTTGAAATGTGTTTATTCTAACAGCTAGATTTTTAACTTGAAAAGCGACTATTCTAACAGCTAGTTTTCTAACTTGAAAAGTGTTTATTCAAACAGCTAGTTTTCTAACTTGAAAAGTGTTTATTCTAACAGCTAGATTTCTAACTTGAAAAGTGTTTATTCTAACAACTAGTTTTCTAGCTTGAAAAGTGTTTATTCTAACAACTAGTTTTCTAGCTTGAAAAGTATTTATTCTAACAGCTAGATTTCTAACTTGAAAAGTGTTTATTCTAACAACTAGTTTTCTAGCTTGAAAAGTGACTATTCTAACAGCTAGATTTCTAACTTGAAATGTGTTTATTCTAACAGCTAGATTTCTAACTTGAAAAGTGATTATTCTAACAACTAGTTTTCTACCTTGAAAAGTGTTTATTCTAACAGCTAGTTTCTTTACCAGACTTGTATAGAGCAACCGAAGTTAAAGGTATTCAATCTTCAAAATGGAAAGCAATTACACTTATCAGACAAAACTTTTCAGGGTACAACGAGCGTGAATTAGACATCCCACTCTATAAATGGAAGGTCACTTAAAATTAGTCGCTTTAATATTACAATAAGCAATTGCACTGAAACAAACTCCGATTATCTAATCCCTATATCTTTGCAAACCGATGTCGTATGGATTAAGATATTTCAAATTATGAATTCTGTGAGATCAAATAATCTTGGTTTGGAATTTCAACGGTTTACACAATCAGTTTACAAAGGTATAGGAATAGAAATTAAGAGTCTATGGCAAAGAATCAATTCCTTTATTCAACTTTGGGATTTGTCGGTTTTGGATTTTTGAGTTCGTTTGGATACAAAAATATAGAAAAAGACACCAGCCAAATATATTTTAAAAAACTATTTAATTTTCTTTGTTTCTGGTTCCTTAGGTAGGAAGAATGTGAAAGTCTCATCAAAAGTTTTCTGTAAACTAAAACAAACAAATATTGAAAATATAAACTAAACTTTCGATTTATATCAAATATCTGTAGATCCTAATATGTATCAAGTCTCGTGGAAGAAACGCAAACGTAAGTCCGTGTCGAGAACTTTTGGTTAAGATAGAGTTAAGCTTTATTTCAATATACTTTGCAGAAACTTTGACTTCAAAGCTTATAAATGTTGAATAAATGAAAAAAAAACCAATCCTCTAACTTTTCCAACGGTTCATGAGCTATTAAATTTTTTTTCAATCCACAACTTTCCACCTCTACAGATGGTGAAAAAATGTTTTTTTACACTAGTGATATTTTGACATCTTGTCGGCTGTTTAAAAAAAAGAATTAGAGTTAGTTATATTAATATTTACTTGAACAATTCTTATAAAATATTTCTAATTTTCTTTTAAAAACATCAATAAATAAAAGAGTATTATTTGCTTGTGCCTTGTGTTTATAGATCTTGTTCTGCAAAACAGTTTCATTAAGAATAATAGATTTAAATTATTTATCATATCCAATATTCAAAAAGATATTCTACAGGGTGAAAAGAAAAACGGATTTTCCAGATGTGTGTCAACTCAACCTTTGTTCACGTTCTTTTGGTAGATGGAATTAGAATGCAAAGATTTGTGAAAATCTTAGGAAAATTATCTTTAATTAACATTTTGTGTGATATAATATTTTCAATTTTAATCTTTCACCATTCTTTATCTGATTAATTTGGGACAATTCAGAGAAACTGAACAATTGACGCAAAAATTCCTATATCTGTTCAACCTGGTGTCGGAGACCTTAGAAATTTTATAGTCTAGGCATTATGATGGCCTAAGGGTGTACACCTTGCAAAGATTTAAGGATTAGTTTAATGGTGAGTGTTTAGTTACCTAACAAAGAAAGATTAAAAAGTTTAGAATTTGTTCACAGTGAATTTTAATGTCAATTTTATAACAATGCTTATCGCATTTTTAATCGATTTGCTTTTTGGTTAGATGAAAAGTACTTATGTAAATTCTTGTAAAATGAAACTGTTCCTCAAGTCTTCATGGACCCCCGGGAAAAGATGTATTTTCAAGAAAACTGTTCTATCCCTTGCAAGCTGAAAAATATGAATAATATTATTTTTCAATCTTATTCTTTTACCCCCCAGTTACAGCTTTATATATATAAAAAGCAAAATCAAGTATCCATAGGGTGTCCAAAAAAAGGCATAAAAAACAAAATTTGTTTCATATTTTATATCAGTTTTAAATCAACTGACACTTGTGTTTTTGGGATTTTCAAAATGTGGTCAGCCAATTATGTAACTTCAAAATGTGGTCAGCCAATTATATAACTTCAAAATGTGGTCAGCCAATTATGTAACTTCAAAATGTGGTCAGCCAATTATGTAACTTCAAAATCTTGTTGGAAAAAAATTATGAATTCAGATTTGAACAATCCAAATGTAAGAAAAAACACCTTTATCTTATATCGCCATCAATGTTTACATTAAAAAGTAGTCAGACTAAATTCTGTAAAAAAATCCTATTTTTTTGGGACATTCTATCATTTACCCAAACAAACTTATACAATGTAAGTCAACTTTAAGAAAAGGATGAAACTAAGAAGATATTTTTTTTAATTCACGCCTTGACTTTAGAATTCTTTTAATTTAACGCCTTGACTTTAGAATTCTTTTAAAGTAGGAAAAAGGATTTTATCTAAAATTATGCATTTTTGAAATCAATTCCCATGAGACGCCCTCGACCTTTATTTGTTTGAAGGTAATATAAAGACGATCTCCCCCATGTTGAACTAACAAATCCAACTCAGCCATTTTATAATCTGTTGTCATTCATATTCTATAATATTGTGAATAAATTGTCATTCATATTTTATATTTTGGTGAATACATTGTCATTCATATTTTATATTTTGGTGATAACGTTGTCATTCATATTTTATATTTTGGTGAATACATTGTCATTCATATTTTATATTTTGGTGAATATATTGTCACTCATTATTTATATTTTGGTGAATACATTGTCATTCATATTTTATAATATGGTGAAGCAAAAAATAAATTTACAATCCTAGCTACAACACCCAATTTTGATCTTTGAGAAGTGGGATGAATGAACTGTTGCACCCCCTTGTAAGTAGTTAGGTGTATCAGGTGTGAGTTTCACTATAGGTCTAACATAAAGATAAATTGTAGAAGGAAATAATTTAAAAAAAATCATTTTTTAAAAGTTTAGAGTCTGTGAGGGGTTGAAAAGTTTAGAGTCTGTGAGGGGTTGAAAAGTTTAGAGTCTGTGAGGGGTTGAAAAATATTTCTGAAATTAACAGAAATTGGGAGAAGGGATTTCGTCATAATTAACATAGAAACAAGAGCAGTTTGGTGTAATCCGTTTAAATATGAGCCTATAAAAGTGCCCACCGCAGATCAGCCATAGTAAATAGTTTTAAAAAAACTCAAATAAATTCACGTATTTCTTTAGAGGAAGTGTTCAAGTGTAGATTGACAGCGGTAACAAGCAACTGTTAATCTTATTGAAAGATAAAGAAGTTTCCTTGTAAAGTAGAGCTACTGCGTGTGTGGGGGGGGAGGGAAGACGCGGAAGGAAGGGAGGCTGAATCATCATGAATCCACTGAATAAAACCTATATTTTGTAAAAATTATGTTTTTTTTTTACTATTGCTAAATAATCAGTATTTATCATCTTGGAAAAATTCTAACACTTCGTCATGTCAGTGTGAAATAATGCGTAATTTTTTTTATTACCTTCCTAGAAATCACACTTACTCAGACTTAAAAACATGGCAGACTCTTGATATAGAGTAAGTTATTCATTACTTAAAATAAAACGTGAATGTTGATTAAAAATAAATTTATTTTTAATATAATTTCTTGATGTGAGATTATTTTGGTTACCAAATTGGCATAGAATAAAATTCCCTTTATTTTATGAAAACAAATTTTAATCATTAAAATACAAACGATGGCCGTATTAAAGGATCCGCGTAATTATTGTTTCTGAATTCAAATTCAAAAAAGATCAGAACTATTTTAATCAATTATTATAGATATTGACTAATTATGACTAGTAAAATGGTTTATAAAACTTAAAACATTTATTACGCAAAAAGGGAACATTTAAAGAATAAAATTCTGAAAGTAATTTTGTTTGATATTTTATAATCAATAAAAGATTCAAACGATACCATTTTTGAAATTTTTTATCAGATTAAGATATTCAAAAATTTGACATTTCGACAAATATTCCGAAACCCAAAAAAAAAAACCAAAAAAAGTATTGCTTAAATCAAAGATTAAAACGAAATAAACAAAGTTCAATTCAGGAATGAATTTTCCAATATTTTCCAATAGCCTCCTACTGCGAATGGAATGTTTTTTTTGTAAATATCTTATAAACCACTTTATGCGTCAATATAAGAATCAAATCATGACAATTCAATTAACAACATTAATCTTAAGAAAAAGTCTTGTACCACTATGTTGAAAAGAATGAAAACATTTTTAATACATTTTAAAACCAAGAATTATAAGGAAGCTGTTCGGTACAGCGGAGGCTTTTCCTGCATGGTGGAGGCCCGGTCTGCCTAGTAAGTATGGGAGGCTCGTGTCTGCATGGCGGAGGCTCATGGCGTCCGGGGATTCCCTCCCTTTTGTGGACGAACAAAAACTCAAAAAGACAGCTGGAGAAATCAAATTCTCTTCATCAAACATTTATTAAAGTAAAGGAAGAGAAATTATTAATATTAAATTATTAAAATCAAAATTATTAATATCAAATATAGAGCTCTCAGAGCAGAGAATTCCACAAGTTTTTTTGCAAATTAATCGTTGTTTTCGCTTCATATAGTTTCGCGAAATGCAAACGAAAATTTTCGCGAATCGCGTTTCGTTCGCTTGACACCCTATATCCAGGGGTCAATATAATTCCCTTTTCAATCCCATTTGGGATTGACAAATTTGAAAGAAATGGGGGCAAATTATTTAATTGGGGGCAAATTTATTGGGGGCATTTTTTTTTCAAAATTGGGGGCAAAAAATTATTTTGGGATCGAGAAAATCAGCTTTTTTGGGAATTATATTGACCCCTGCCTATATCTAATACAGATAATGGAAGAAGACGTTTTAAACTATTCGCAAACTGTCATGTTTCGTGGGACACCCTGTATTTAAAAGTGGTCTGTTCAGTCGTTAATCTGACACCTTCAATGACTAAGATAAAAGAAAAATAATACAAATAAGTTTCTTTATTTTTATTATTTTATGAGTAGGACCAGATCCTTGTTATATGATTATCAAACAGAGGATTAAAACAGACGAATTTATTGCAGCTTAAATAATATACAGATTTTCTTCAAAACTAGGCTGTAAAGACTGTAAAACGTAGAAATTAATCAAAACATTAGTAATTTTTTAATCATACAGGGTGTCCTACAAAACATGAAGCAAGACGACCTGAGAGTCGTCTTTGAACTTTGAATTTATTCGGATAATTTCAGTCGTCAACCTACGTTCACATGTATGATTCTTGAGAAAATAACCAGAAAATTCTACAAGTTCTGGCATTTGTGCTGTAAATATGACCGGTGGTATTATGAATTTTGTTCAAATTTCAATTCTATTATAAAACCAAAATTTTCAAAATCTGAACAAAATTATTCACATCTTCGGTAATATTGAAAGCATAAAAAAGGCAGACCACATTTAAGAAATGCCTAGACTAGGGGTATTTGGGTTGTGTTACCTCTACAATTTTACTTTTAAAATCAGGGTTACGGCTTTTCGACCTACGCAAATACGCTAGGCTTCACTTCTGACCTACGACAAATCGCTATACTACACATCCGACCTACTAGCACGTGGTTTTACAGCTGCTAAATGGACTTGTGGCCGCAGCACACACCTAGCCTCGGCGCTCGGCCTTCATAACCTAACCTAATCCTCAAATACAAAAAAAAACATCTGTCGTAGGTCCGATATTGCAGTAGGTCGGAAAGTTAATAGGTCAGAAGTTCTGTAGGGGGGGATGTTGTGTATAGACTATGTAACATTACCTTCAGGGACTAGATTCTCCATGGTATTCTCAAACCCTTTATCTGATCAATAATATGGAAGGTATTGTCGTTATCCAAGGTTTACAAGTTTATAATTTTGATATTTCATTTATTAGTTTTCTTGCAGTAGAAATGCGCATATCACTTTTGTAAGGAGAAATAATATTAAAAATATCAGTTTCCGAAATTATAAACATTGATGTTGATCAATCAAGGCTTTTAATAGTATACCATTGTGATTAGGGAATTGTCATCTTTGCATAGAGGGTTACTTGAAATTACGCTTACAGTCCTTTTAAAAATCTTAAAATCTTCGGAGGAAAAAATTATATAATTTTCTTCGTAAAAGTAGCAATATCTTTAGATTTAAATCAAAATATTCTATAGTCTCTTATTCCACACAAAACAACAAATAACTAAACGCTTCTCTAACAATTGTACACCTTTGAAACGCAATGCTTATTAATATTATTTTCAACGCCAATAAAAACTAGTTTATAATGAGATAGCTATATATTTTTGAAAGGTACAAAGTAATAGTTCTTTGGAAAATTCATCAAATTTACAATTCAATTTTCAAATTACATATTGATTAAAATAAAAATTTAAGATCTTGAGGGAAATAGTTAGAAAAGTTCTTGAAAATATCTTTGTAACAATTTCTTGATCTTATACACTGTACAAATTTTGACTGCCTTACATCTGCAATATCATTTAACATGTATGTTGCATGTAAATACGTAAAATGATAGATTACATTTAGAAAATGTTAAGATATTAAATTATACCAAAAACGTTGAAACATATCGGATTTCCAAAATTAATTTGAACTCAATGATATTGGAAAATATACAGTTTTATAATGTCTAGTGATGTTACTCCGATATACAGGGTTACCCACAAAAAATAAAACTTTAATGACAACCTAAATATCTTTAAATATTAAGATCTGATAATTTAATTGATTCTTATTTTTAAGTAGTTTCATTGTTAACTTATTTTGCAGAAGAGAAACAAGTGTACAGCTGGAGGGAACCAATCATGTTAAGAGACACACATTTCTTCACAGATCATGTCAATTTCTGACTCGAAGTCTTATAATTTATCCATTGTTTCTAATAACCATAATAAAACCGTATATAGATATTTAATTCATGCTTGGTTAGAAAAAGCATTTTAGGATTTTTCTTATTTCACAGATCTTATGGGTAATTCGATCGTAGAGTTAGACAAGAATAAGATAATAAGATAATAAGATAATAAGATAAGAACAAGAGGAAACTTTGTGTTGGCCTAGCGGGAAACATTGAAATAAGGACTGAATCGAACGGATCAAAAATAAAACCAGTTTAAGGGCAGGGTTGCATCGTGTTAGGCAGGGGCACCCTTTTGGATCTGATTTTTAATCTTTTAACATCTACAAAGCCTATTTAGTTTTGTGGAATAAAATTGAACAATTCAAGTTATAAATGTTGTGACTTTTTAGGAAGATTATTGTAAAATTCGTAAGAAAAAAACGTTTAAAAACTAATAAAAAACGATGCCCAAAAAGGAAAAAATGAAATGTTCACTAAATTCAAATTTTAAACAAACCCTCTAAATACTTAAGAATATATATATACCATTACAACTGAAAAGCACATTGTGCAATAACATAGTTCACAATTTAACAAGTGCTGTAAAATTCATAATTTATATTTTGTATTTTGTCAAAAATTCCAGATTTTTCCGATCAATAATAACAATAATTGACTTGTTAAAGAAATAAAAATTTGGACAATAAATAAAACCAAGATATCTTTTATATCATATTGATAATTAATTAATCAAAAATTTCTTTTATTCAACATTGCGATTTTAGATATTTGTTTGCACAACCCCCCCCTCCCCCCTCCCCCGACCCCTTTAAATGATAAATTTTCTTAGATTACTAAAACCAATCAGAGTTTAGTTTCTGACCAACTATTTTTTGATTTTGATAGCTATACAGTATACATTACAATTACATAATATAAGTTCCTAATTCATGTCCAAGAATGATAACAAATTTCTATAAATTTTATAAAATTGTTTATGTTGTTGTTGTTGTTGTTGTTGTTTACTGTTTATCTGAACTCGTAAATCTGTACACTATGGTCAGGTATATGCTTCAAGTTTAGACTCTGGAACCTGAAATATTCAAAATTAAAATAAATTAATAAAATTAGTATTAAGCAGATCCAACTCTAAGGAAAATAGTAAACAACTTGCAAAAAAAACTATTTAGAAATAACTCCAAGATTATGAGAAGTGTTTTAATTTTGTTTAGGTAGTTCAACGTCATCTCCAATCCATAAAATCTGGTCTCAGATAAAATGTTAGTTATGATACATACATGTAACATATATATCATTCATTATTCACAAGCGAAATAGAATCATTTCATCTCTGGAAGTCAAAATTTCCATAGATATCGACAACATTAAAGCGATTTTTTTATAATATTTTTCATTCTATTTAACTTTTCTATATATATTTCTCCTCTCTTCTAATAACTACAGGACATATTTGTATATTAACCTCTCTCTCTCTTTTGTGTTTACTAGACTATTGGGAAAGAAATAACTTCCAATTCAAGAATTTTCAAGGTTTTCACTTCCCCCCTAAATTAAAAAAGTTTCACTAAGTGTCTAGAAGTCATATTTCGAAGACAAACAATCAGATGTCGGATATCCAAAGGAATATTGGGAGAGGGATAGTAAAACGGGGGTATATCTTTTATTGAAAAATTATTCATTCTCTTATCCTTAAAGATGATTGTCCCTGGTATGAAAGAAATGTTTGCGCGAAGCGAAATTAAAAACAAGTTTTTTATCTGAACCGGATATATATAATCAGGGTGGCCAAAACTTTTTTGAAAAAATCCGTACAAAAATCCGTACATTTTCAGAGGAAATCCGTACAATCCTTACAATTTTCGAAAAAAAAAATCCGTACAATCCGTACAATTTTCGAAAAATAATCCGTACAATCCGTACATTTTTTGAAAAAATCCGTACATTCTTTTAAAAATAGATAGATAAAAGATAGATAAACTGACATGCAGATAGATATACAGATGGATAGACAGATAGCTAGACAGATAGCTAGACATATAGCTAGACATATAGCTAGACAGATAGATAGACATATAGCTAGACAGATAGATAGACAGATAGCTAGACAGATAGCTAGACAGTTCGCTAGACAGATAGACAGATAGATAAACATATTCTAAAATGAACACTTTTGGAACATATTCTCAAATGAACACATTTTTATTGTCAATTGAAACATTAATCAATCTAATATTATTTAGAATGCAGAAAATAAGATACACTAACTTCATTTTGAAGAGAATTTTTTTTTTGAAATTTTCAGGAAAAATTTGCTGAAAAGAGTGAAAATTAAAAAAAAACGGTGTATTTCCAGGATAAAAATCCGTACAATCCGTACAATTTGAAAATAAATCCGTACAATCCGTACAATTTTAGGGTTACAAAATAAAAAATCCGTACAATCCGTACATTTTGGCCACCCTGTATAATTGATTTTTGAGTAAAAACAAATGAATATTTGGGGTTAGAAATGTCAAAAAGTCGAATAAATTCGAGTTGATGTAGAGTCTTTTTTTGTTTCTCAAAACCTTCAAAAATCAGCCACCTTCCCCTAGTTTCTTAACCCTTTTCCCTTCCTTCCCCTATTTTCTTAACCCTTTTCCCTTCCTTCCCCTAGTTTCTTAACCCTTTTCCCTTCCTTCCCCTAGTTTCTTAACCCTTTTCCCTTACCATTCTGAGTTCCTATGGAAGTAATATCCTTCCACCGTAGAAGTAGATTTCTGGAAACAGATATAGTAGAACCCAGCAAAACTAGCCCCGTTTATATCCTGATAATAAATAATGATAATAAAAATAACAATAGTAATGAACATAACAATAACAATCACAAAAACAATAACAATTGCAATGATAACAAGTAAATAATTGTAAGTAAGTAATTATTTATTCATGAAATATAACAAAAACATACAAAATGAAGTGTTCCGGAGAAAATATTTTAAACCTCCAAAAATAGAGGTTGTGGGAATATTTTCCCCCATTTCTAAAAATAAAAAAATAAAAATAAAAATCAGGACCCTGAAACCAATGAAAATGGCAGGCAATGGCAATATTAATAACAATAACAATTATAATAATAACAATGATGACAAATAACAATGACTCCAATAACAATGATAACAATAACAATGATAACAATAACAATGGTAATAATGACCATGATATTGAAAGACACTGACAAAAATAAAAACAAATAATTTTAAAAAATCTAAACACATGAGTCGAGGTTTATAATCCTTTTAGAAAGCTTAAAGAGGGATCTGGAATTGAAAATATCCTTTTTGTAAGATTTTGAACTATGAGACTAAAAAAACTAACCTTTATTGTATGATCTAGAACTATGAGATATACACTAACCTTTATTGTATGTTCTAGAACTATGAGATATACACTACCTTTATTGTATGATCTAGAACTATGAGATATACACTAACCTTTATTGTATGATCTAGAACTATGAGATATACACTAACCTTTATTGTATGATCTAGAACTATGAGATATATACTAACCTTTATTGTATAATCTAGAACTATGAGATATACACTAACCCTTATTGTATGATCTAGAACTATGAGATATACACTAACCTTTATTGTATGATCTAGAACTAAGAGATATACACTACCTTTATTGTATGATCTGGAACTGAGATATACACTACCTTTATTGTATGATCTGGAACTAAAATATACCTTTTTTGTATGATCTGGAACTAAGAGATATGCCTTTATTGTATGATCTGGAACTAAGAGATATACCTTTATTGTCTGATCTGGAACTAGAAGATATACCTTTATTGTATGATCTGGAACTAAGAGATATACCTTTATTGTATGATCTGGAACTAGAAGATACCTTTATTGTATGATCTGGAATTAAGAGATACTTTTATTGTATGATCTGGAACTAAAAGATACCTTTATTGTATGATCTGGAAATAAAAGATACCTTTATTGTATGATCTGGAACTAAGAGATATACCTTTATTGTATGATCTGGAACTAAAAGATACCTTTATTGTATGCTCTGGAACTAAAAGATACCTTTATTGTATGACCTGAAACTAAGAGATACCTTTATTGTATGACCTGGAACTAAGAGATATAACTTTATTATTTGATCTTGAGATATCTTTATTGTATGATCTGGAACTAAAAGATACCTTTATTGTATGATCTGGAATTAAAAGATACCTTTATTGTATGATCTGGAATTAAGAGATATCTTTATTGTATGATCTGGAATTAAGAGATACCTTTATTGTATGATCTGGAATTAAGAGATACCTTTATTGTATGATCTGGAATTAAGAGATATCTTTATTGTATGATCTGGAATTAAGAGATACCTTTATTGTATGATCTGGAATTAAGAGATACCTTTATTGTATGATCTGGAACAAGGAAATGTTCCTTCCAACGCATGAAAACATAATCGGTTTCCTTCAACTCGTCGTAGCAGAAATTGTCCGAATTAAAGGTTCGTGAGTATTGGTAGAACGCCAAGAATTTACCCTGAAAAAATATATTTTGTCTTTTCAAAGCTTGATATTTTTACTAAGATCTGATCTGGGAATTTTTGTAATGTGTTTACAGGGGTGTTAATCTTCTCAAAAAATCTTTCCCTCCGCCCCCTTCTGACATTCATTTTTTCTCCATAAGTAAATTAGGCTTACAAAAAGTTTGAAAAAAAACTTAATTAAATGTTCCAATTTTAATCTTTTCTCCCAAATCTTCAAATATCATTTCATACCCACACACCCCTGTGTGAATATCAAAATCAATGCTTAATCTCGATCTTTTGTTAATCCACAGATTAAGTTTATCTTTACTCGATATCCCGCATGGTAATCCTACCCTGGAGGAAACACTGAAAAGAAGAGTTTAACCATTTATCATTAAAAGTGCCCAGGTGTACTGTGGATATCAAGATTAAGAGATTGGGATTATGAATATCGAACAGAGCTCTGAACGCTTTATTTGTTTCTTTAATATAATTTTTTTTTCAGTTGGTAGAACTTTAAAACCAATTTTTATCTTAAGTTAAATCTGCTAAAAATATTTTTTGTCAAAAAAAAACAAAGATTAGTTAAACCCCTTAAATAATTCTAACTTTTTTGGTTTGGGGACATTTTGAGAAAAACAAAAATCTTCCTCTTTCAGTGAATCAAAATATGATGGATACTAGACCCAGATAAGAATACAGAGAAAAAGAAAATGTTTAACTTTTATTAAAAAACAGATTTAAAGAGAGGCGGTGGCCGACGATTTACATTTTATAGATTTATACAAATAAGTATTAAACCCTGAATAACTAATAATAATGATAAATAATTATTCCTATGAGGGTTTATAGCTCTTAAACGGTCCGGTTGATGGGAAAAGAATGGTATTAGCCTTTTGTAATTCTAGAAGATGACGTAATCATTTCTTACTCTGTAAGTGGTTAGAACGATATTACCTTCATTCATTTTATTTGACATTCTATTTACAATAAAATTATTATCATTATTGAATTATTAATAATGCGTACCCGTTGTCCATTCTTATATTTTTCTATTTATCTCATTAAAGATATTTTTTGAAGAAATACACAAACTCCCCTGGGAGGATGAGAAAATGGGTGAGTTTATATAATTTATATATTTTTTTCAACTAATCGAATGATACAAATGTCTTACCTACTGCAGAGAAAATATTTTTCTAAGGAAGGAGGAAGGAATGATTTTTGAGTAAATTTTAAATCCCTGTCTCAAAAATTCATGCTTTAAAGCTGAATTCAATAATGATTTTCATATAGAGAGTGTTGGACAAAAATAACATAGTGTAAAGAATAAAGGAAAAAAAAACAATTTTTTTAAATGATTGTTAATTTTTTGTTTTAACTTTTGTTATGTCCGTTATTTGTTTTGAAAACAAATGTAACTCCTACTGCATCACAAATAGTAAACTAAATAATACTTCTTTATCTGATATTCTGGTATCCCCCCTCCCAGAGTTCCTTACTTATATCGAAAAAATATATATATACAGGGTGAGTATATTCTAATACACTGTTAAAAACTCATTGAAAAACAATTTGTCCGCAAAAATTATACCAGAACTGAAAATTGCGAATTTTCCAATTACAATTTTGCAATTTTTCTGAGACTCTGTGATTAAATCTTTTTTAAATTATAGATTTCAATAGAAACAATTTATTTACACATTTTTGTTTTTCTGAACTTTTGATTTGGAGAGAAACAAAGGTTAGCAGACTTTTTTGGGGCCATTGAAGCACAAAAAAATTACAAATGTTCAAAAAATATTGAAAAAATACCATACAGGAGAGTTGCACAAATCACACTTTTTTTTGACTCCCCCTGTACATATACTCCCCCTGTACATATAAAAATATTCAAGCATAAACATAATTAAAGATTAATGTACGGGGGAATTAGTAAAACAAATCCAAGGGTTTATAATTTATATATTTCCGAGAATTCCCATTTTCCTGAAAATTTAAACTTTCAGGAAAAAATAAACTAATTAAAGGGACTGAACGCGTAATTTTAAGTGATCTTCCAACTAAAGGGAGACATTCATATCGGTGCCCTTTAATAAACCTTTGTCCTGACCAGTGGCGTAAATAAGGGGGGTTGTTGGGGCTATTTACAGATTTTTAACAGAATACTACTAAAAATTTCGCGCATTATTCAGTTCTTAGATTGAATAAAAAATCAAATCGACTTTTACTTCAGGAACAAAGCACTTTTAATTACTGATGAAACACTTTGATTCAAATAGTTAACCCAGAAAACATGGAATTATAGAATATTCTAGATGCTTCGGAAAACGTTAAGGTCACAAATACATTATTTTAACTACGATGATTGATGAGGTCAGCAATATTTGCTTTATACTGTCACGGGATAATAACAAAAATAACGTTGAACTAAATAAATACGTCGCTTTAAACCATGTATGTGTCAAAACTTCGGCTTGAAGTTCGGTATCACAAGACAAAAATAATAAAGTTGCGGATTTATGTTTGTTGTGAAACAGCTGTTCTAAAGCTGCGCATTCACAGCTGCTGTTGCTGCCGCCTTTCTCTTATTAATTTAATTATAACTTCGTAACTAATTTACTTACAGGGTGTCCCACGAAACAAGACAGTTGGAAAATCGTTTTAAATGTCATTCATAGGTGGTTTCAGGGGGGGGGGGTGGCAGTCCATTACCCCTACCCCCTGAGTGATATTAGAGGGGGGGGCCCCGGGTGTCCCCCCTGGATTTTTACAAATCATTTCTCATGTATATAGTTTTTATTCATTCTTCTAAATAAATTTTAAGTTTACTTGAAAGTGAAAACATTATGAAAATAAATTTTAAGTAAGATATCAATTATCATATGTTGATCTACATATATTAAATCCATCCTCCATAAAATACAGGTTGGTCAACCTGGGTCGGATGGAATGCATCTAAAGAGGCTTGCCTCAATTTCAGACATCAGTGTTATTTAATTCATTCATTTCTAGTGGCCCAGGAAAACTAGTTTATCGTAGACTAGAGAAGGGAGGATTTTTTTTATTTACTTTCACTCTAAAATAAACATAGAAACTACTTGCAGTCCCCTGTAAGACAAATTAGCATGATTTAAGAAGCGCTACTTACAAAAAGAGATTAAGAATAATAGCACTGGATTTTTTTCACAATGTATTCTCGACATTTTTTACCATGCTCATCATAACTGTTCTTGAATATGTCTAAAGATTTAGACTCCTTTATATATTCCGGCAAACTGTTCCATGGGTTTAACACTCTCACAGAAAAAGAGTTTATGTAAAATGCATGTACGTAAATATACAGTGTACCATTATAAAGTTCAGCAATCTATAATAATTTTTTAAATAAATAAATGGATCATCAAGGCATTTTTCCTACCCTGTAATAAAAGGTAAAAGAAACTGTAATTTGAGTAGGGTTAGGAGGGTAAATAGAACTTTTTAGCTTTTATTTTGTGTGATAACATTATAAGTAGGGGGTAAAATCAAAATTATGGGGATTGGTGCAGGGGAGGGGGTAAAAAAAATCCCCCCCCCTTGTCTTAAATCCTTAAACCACATATGATGTCTTGTACTTTATTATATATAAAAGAATTTTTGCAGTTTACTTATTAAAAAATCTTTTACACAATTATTATAACTTTGAAATAAATTTCATTAAATTGCTATGACTGCAATGTAATATTTTATATTTTTCTCTTTGCGTCAAACAAATTGGGGAAGAAGACATTTTAAACTATTTATAATTATAAACTGCCATGTTTGAATCAAGGGACAACCGGGCGGACGCATACATAGAAAATTCATCAAAGGGGAGATATAATTAGGTTATATTTATTTTCTTTATATTGACTTAATTGAGAGGGGCTCAGAAGCACCCCCTGTCAACCCGCCATAGATTTCACTGATCCGGGCCGGAGGGCCGGGCTGAGCCCCTGTAGCCCCCCCCCATCCTGTGTACGCCTCTGATATAGATGTTAATACGAAACATACAATCTACGTAATCTTACCTTGAACTATTCATACAATTAGATCAGAAATTCAAAGCTGATAGTTCAGAAAACTGCAGGCTCGGAGAGGATCCGGAGGATCTGGAGTCTGATAGTTCAGAAAACTGCAGGCTCGGAGAGGATCCGGAGGATCTGGAGTCTGGCATCAATCATCTCGATAATAAAAACTAAACAGTTTTTCCAAACTTAAACAAGCATAAAATTTGCTACAAACATGATATTGTTTGTGTTAGAGAAACGTGACTATACAGTCCTCTTAGATCGGAAAACTTTCGCGCATTATTCAGTTCTTAGATTGAATAAAAAATCAAATTCCACATTTAATTTGCTACTTCATATTTGGTACACACCAATCTGCTCAAATTACAATAACTTTTTAAGAACTATTTTTGGAAGATTTTTTTACGCATTTGATATATTTCCTGATAATCTCTCCGTCAAAGAATGTGACCATCTCGGGATACTCGTCAGTGAGGTTTTGTATTTTCAGGTACCCGCACATATACGCATTCTGCTCATCAACATGCTGAAATACGCAGAAGATTATTCAATATTTGCAAAAACAAATTGTTAAATGTATTTGCAGCAATTTGTTTTTTATAAACGAAAGAACAAACAATAGTTCAATTTACTTTAATAATTTATCATTGAACTATTGAAAAAATCTTCCTATAAAATTCTTATATATTTTTATATTTTTTCATTTTTGGTTTTTAATAATCAAATACGGTGGTAGGCGATTATATCAATATAATGAAGACAATTTTTGATTTCCATTTTTATATCAAGCTTTAACAGCATGGATATTGGACACACAAAACATGGACAAAAAGAGATGCTGTCAAAAAAAGGTTCTCTTTATAAACTAGTGAACTTGTAATTCGAAAAAAGCTAGTTAACATGAATAAGATAGTCGTCTTCATTGTATTGATATAATCGCCTATCACCTTTCCCATCACAGCAAGATCAAATGTAATGTATAATAAAGTTTTTATTTGCCCCTTATTAATTTTGTTCACAATAATGTATAAATAGTTGATTATTTCTTTACTAAGTTAAGAAATTAGAAATGAGTTCATTAGTGCTTCCTAAAATCATGAATCGATTTCAGTTTATGAAAATCTTGTGGACATTTCCCTTAACAAATCTACACATGCATGAAGAACCTTTTTCACTGGTAATTCCAGAAGATCTATTTATTAAACCATCCTTCTCATTTTTCACTGGTAATTCCAGAAGATCTATTTATTAAACCATCCTTCCAGTTCCTATCATTTTTCACTGGTAATTCCAGAAGATCTATTTATTAAACCATCCTTCCAGTTCCTATCATTTTTCGCACTCCTTTTCAAGGGGATATTAACGTGATTACAAGTGACTCATAATTCTAAGCTGTAAGTCGGATTCACAACGGTTCAATTTAATTTGGGTAAAAATAAGAAAGATATTGTCGTGTTGTTAATATTCATAGAGCGAAATTCGATTTTCTTTCAGGGCTCCTCTGATGCACAAAATCTAGAGGCCAATTTTTCAAAGAACCCTCCATGGAAAAATCAGTTCTCACTTAAAAAGAATATCTCCAGGCTATTAGATCAAATAAAAAATTTTTCGGGTACCGTTGTGAATCGTACATCAGTGTCATTTGAAGAACTGTCATCAGTCCCTTTCTACCTGTAATACAACTTCTACATCGTACTGGTTTCCTTTTGATTTCTGATGTCCGCAAAATCTAGATCCGTTGTATAACAAACTACCAGACACACCAGGCTTAAGAATATCATTAAAATACAAAATAAATAAAGTACATAATTTATATCATTTTCCTGATCTAGGCACCTGTTATGCTGATCTAAACATTTGATAAAAAATACTTTTTAATTCAAGATGTGCTTGTTATAAATATTTTCCAGCGATATATATATTTTAAAGATTTCGGAGGAAGGGAGGAGTGGGGGGGGGGGGAATGCCATCAATAGAAAATTAACCGACATGTTTACCACTCCCCTTTTAAACACTTTCCCCCCAAAAAATTTATTTCATCCATTCAGTCTGCATATAATCACTTATTCAGTCTGCATATAATCACTTATTTCCTGATTGTAGGGATTGTAGAGGGGGATGTAATTATTAAACAAAATATAAAATAAATATCCCCCTTGTACCTGTTTTGAGTTGACCGGTGGGGGCGGATGAACAGCGGTTTGAGTAACTTTTACTGGCATATTCTACAGTCTATACCTAGCACATGGGAGACTTGACACCTGAAATATTTATTATTGAATTGGTTCATCAGTGACATTAAAAATTTAGAGACCTAAAAAAAATCTTATTTCTATTATTAGTTACATTTTTAAAGGGACCAGACGGTAGTTTTAAATGCAACGGTACATTTAAAAGTTTTCTCTAATCAAGTATGAATTTCTTGCTCATAAGAAGCAATAAAGAAATAATGAGAATAAAAAACTTTCCGAGTCAGAAAACCAACGATATCATCCACCGTTTAGTTCAGATTAAGGTTTCAAGGGTACCACTTATAGATCGGACATTGTCCTCTTTGCATTGCATTTAGGGGTCACTTGAAATAACGCGGTATATTCCTAAGTTCTCGTCAATATGATATATTGCCTCAGTGAAGTATTGATGTTTAAATAGTTCCATTCCCGGAGTTATTTTACACTCTATTATGAAATCCATTAAAACACCAAACCACCCCGCTTATCATTGAAGTACACTTTGACCCCTAGAAGTATGAGTTCGCGGACTGTACAATTCTTGGTGATTTTGCGTACATAAGCTATCTATGTTTATTTATTTATCTATGGAGTTATTGTAGAAATTTTATTATACTTTAGTTAGAATTTAAAAAAAAAATATTTTTATCTTTCTCAATTCTCAAGGCTAAAGGCTTTTGTAAACATTTAATGTAAAAAAAGTTCCATAATGTATTTTATTTGTGTTGAGTTTATAGAATTACTCGTAGATATCAAACTTTGAATTCTTTTGGTAAAATATTCCAAGTTTGAAATATCAAATGTTTACACCACTCGGTGCAAAGATTTAGGGATTAGAATATTTGAGTTTGTGGCAAAAACTCAGTTCCAAATATAGGGAAAATTCTGAACCTGGCAAATTTCTCACTGATTATCATATTTGATAACTAACAAGATTTATCTTCTTTGACAGAAGCTCTATAAAATCGAAAATGAATTTAGATTATGAATGTTGGTTAGATCAATCATTAATTCAATAACTTCAAGAAAAAAGGTAACATTATCTGTCCTTTTTCAATGTAGATGATTGAATTTATTATTTATCTATATGTATTTTTATGATTATTTCTTGCAATTTAATCTGTAATTAAACCAGGTACTAAAAAAATACTCTTTTGCGATTCGCACACAAATTCAATGAATTGAGTCATATCATTCATTTTACAAAATTTGTTACAAAATGTTATAAATTTTATAAATTTCGTAAAAACACAAGAACAAAAAATCGATTTGAATTGAACACAGCCAAATCTGCATGATTTTTAGGAAATAAAGATTTTGTTATCGAATTTCTGAGACGGGGTTACTCTGTTGTGTGTGTATTTGTGCGGCCTATCGGGAAAGAATTGTCTGGGGATAATAAACATCCCCCACCAGAATCCTAACCGGCCTATTATCCGGATTTGTCTAGCGTGTTGCTGTTTTCCGTCAACAATGTTTTAGTTTTTATACTTCACAAAATATTCATCAAAGAATTTTACTAAACAAACTGTATCTCACAAAGTTCCTCAGTAGTCGAGATTCCTTGAACAACTAAAGTTCAAAGATTTTGCCAGCTCACATTGCGTTTCAGTTCATAAAAACTAGTTGCAGACATTTCTTTGCACCAATTTACTGAAAAAAATCTTGCATTTAGCTGTTATAAACAAACATAGGAAACCTAAAACATTCCACTGCAAACTAGGACAGTTGGAAAAAGTGGATCCACATTTGAACTATTGATCATTTGAACTACTGCCGTTTGAACTATTGATCATTTGAACTACTAGTTTATATTGATCATTTGAACTACTGCCGTTTGAACTATTGATCATTTGAACTACTAGTTTATATTGATCATTTGGACTATAATTAATAGTTTGAATATTGTTCATTCTAACTAATAGTGATGACGTCATTTTCCGTAGTTCAAACAACACATAATTTACTCATTTGAACTATTGAATATGCAGTTTAACATTTTTTTATTTAATGAAAACATTTAGGTCAAACAATCATTAAAAAATTGTTTAAATGATCGAACAATATTTCTCATATGGACATAAAATAAATTCAAATGAACAAAAAATAGTTCTAATAAGAAAAAAGTAGTTCAAATGAGAAAAAAGTAGTTCAAATTATGAAAACAATTAAGCAAATTAACCAAAACATAAATCATAGTTTGAAGTATCTAAGGTCTACGACATTGTGTTGCAAAGATCTGGGGATTAGAAAATTAGAGTTTGTGGCAAAGACTCAATTCCTTTAATGAATGAAACTCACCATGTCGTTTTCATTTCATTCTTTCTGATAAAATCTTTTACGTTATCTAACTTTTTCGATCATGTTCTCAACAATTCAAGTAATACATATCTTTGTACTAAAATGCATTGCAAATTGCATAGTACAATTTTATATTTTAATAGATCTTTAGGTTATTATCTATATATACTTTGTTTGTCTGTCTGTGTGTCCGATTGGGCCTAAATTTTGTTTTTTGACCTCACATGACCCCAGGGAAGATTTATTGATGTTCAGAATTACAAAAAGTTGTCTCAAAAAATGTTTGACTTAAAACAAATTTTGAAATTTAAAATTTAAATTTTAAATCCGCAAAAAAAATGTGTTTCTTGCTTTATTGAACAGAAAATACTGAAAGATTGAGCAACTATCAAAAGTTGAAAAAGAATGTAGACGCGAAGCGCCCTGAAAGTACATTACAATTGATTAATAAACTGCACAGAATTTTTTCTTGTAAACTTTCTTGTCATACTCCTGAACCTCACCACTGAAACATATATAGATGTGGTATATGTAGGGTTGTTAATATAGATGTGGTATATGTAGGTTGTTAATATAGATGTGGTATATGTAGGGTTGTTAATATAGATGTGGTATATGTAGGTTGTTAATATAGATGTGGTATATGTAGGTTGTTAATATAGATGTGGTATATGTAGGTTGTTAATATAGATGTGGTATATGTAGGGTTGTTAATATAGATGTGGTATATGTAGGGTTGTTAATTGTTTCTAAAATCGATCGAAAAAAACTGTAGTTTTTCATTTTGTTTTAATTTTTTTGAAAACGATCTTTCTTTTTAGAAAAAAACTATCGTTTCGTTTTTGGAACAAAAATTATCGTTTTTTATAACAATCCACTCGTTTTGAACCTTCAAAAAACAGAAAACGATTATTTTTAAAAGCAATTGTTTAAAAAAAATTTGCTATGAATCTGAGATTTATGACAATAAAAGAAATTTTTCTTCCTAAAGTTAAGGTTATCAATGTTGTCTTAAATGTTTTTTTTTTCGAAAAAATAGCCTGAATTTTTTTTCTGACCTCGGATTTTACGACATAAAACGTATTTTTTCCGGTCGTTAACGAAGGGCGGTTTTTTCAAAAACGATCGTTTTTAAAAAAGACAATATTTTAAAAACAAACGTTTCGTTTTCGTTTTTATTTCAAAAAAGTGGAAACGATCCATCCCTAACATGTGTTTTATCATGATTTTACAGAAATAAGTTATATAATTTACAAAGAATTTTAGTAAAAGATTGGGACATTTTAACTTATCAATCCTTTTACAAAAACAATTACTTGGAACTTTTCCTTCTTTCTAAGACGCCCTGTGAGTTTTGAATTCAATCCAGTGTGGGGGGGGGCGGGGAGGGGTTGATCCATTGTCATAATAATCAATTGATTGGGTAAACCGTGGGTCGTTTTCCAAAACATCGTTTTTTTTCGGAAACGAAACGATCGTTCTAGAAAACGATCGAAAAACGAAACGAAAAACGATCACTTTACAATCGTTTTCAAAAACAAGAAACAATCCTAATTGTATAATGTATAAAGATATACCCGCCCATGAATGAGAATAAAATGGATTGTTACAGCAGCATAATAATTGTAGGGTTTCCATCGCAAGTGGATTTTACAAACGCGAAATTGCGAGCCCTGTAAACTCCACGCAATTCCGCACAATTCCGCACAACTGCGCGCAATTCTGCAAAATTGCGCAAAATTCGAGAACAGTTGCGCGCAATCCTGCGCAACGGAATGCAGATTGGAAACCATAGTAATAAGTGCGGAAATATATAAATTGTTTATAGATACCTTCCAATAATAAGAAAAAGGATTGCTACAATAGTATAGATAACTGCAGGAATTATATATATATTATATATATATTGTTTATAGATACCTTCCAATAATAACAAAAAGGATTGCTACAGTAGTATAGATAACTGCAGGGATTACAAACACAATTCTCCATCTATAAATATAAACTTTTACTATTAAAGAAAATTTTCAACTTAATTAAATCAAGATTTTTTATCATCTTTGGTAAACATAAATTTATTTAAATTATCATTGTTAACACTTTCTTAGAATTTACACTTTGCAAACTCAAGGATTGAATTTGAAAGAAATTACTTTCATTGGTTTGCGACCTTATAATACCACGTGATACCATTAAACTTGTAGGTTGTATAATAAAGGATTTCAAAACATTTTTTAATATCTTTTTATTCTGCAGTTAAAAAGGAACATGCCCGACTCACAACGGTACCCATTAAACCTTCATCTGATCAATAATGTTTCTAGGTTTATAAGTGTTCAATTCTGATATTATCTACAGTGATAACCAGAATATTCTGGAAAAGGAAGACGACTTTAAGACTCTAGTTATGACTTTAAATAGTCAAATAAACATGAGACACAGCAACTGTACAGTTTAAACAGACCCATTTAACTTAATAAGTGATTCAATCAGTTACACATCAATTTATTATCTTTTAACACCTTCAAATACACTCAAGTATTTCTTTCTATTTTGTCGTCTTCCTATTCCACAGTTTTCTGGTTATCACTGTATATGTTTTAATGCAGTATGACATGCGCAAATCTCATTTTTACGGAGAAATCACAATTGAAAAAAATTAGTTTTCAAAATTAAAACATTGATTGTCATCGTTTATTTTGAACGAACAAAAATTTTGAGAGCTCTCACATTTTTTGTGAAAATAGGTGTTTTTCAGAAAAAAAGAACGATGGATGAACGAAATGGATAATTCAGAGAAATGAAAAAATCGTTTTTTAAAACAAACGAAAAAACGCTAGATTTTAATTCATTTGAACGAAACGATTTTGTTAGTTTTTTTACTGAACGAACAAATTTTGAGAACAAATTTGAAAAACAATCGTTTTTTACTGAATGAAAGTTTTTTTCGAACACACTTTTTTAAAACAATAATTTTTTTATTATCATTTCTTTTCTGAACAAACGATTTTAATGAACGATTGTTCAATAAGAAAACAAACGAAATAGATGGAAAATTAACGATAATTTTGAGATCAAACGAAATCTTTTTGATCGATTGAAAAAAAACGAAATGGGCAGGCCGTTCTTGAACAATGAACAAACGAAATGAAAAAGCCGATCGCGCGCATCTCTAAACATTGATATCGAATTAACACTTGATCTCCTTGATCAGACAAAGCTTTAAAAGGGTACCGTTGTGAATCGAACATTGCCAAATTTGAACGGAAGACCACTTGAAATTACACTGACAGTCCATTTAAAGTGATTCGAGGTCTATAGGAAATTCTCATAGAAATCCGTATCCTTTGAAATTGATTTCTTTTCATTTAGAAAAAAAGTTTGGACGTTTAGAATGTACTTTGTTTTACGACACTCCTTTCTCGTTTATAGTGTACTTTGTTATACGACACTCCTTTCTTGTCACTTTTTTGTACACTACTCTATTGATCACAACATTTGTCATTAGATATGTTGTAAAATATAATCTTGGTCTTTTCCTAAGTAATCAAAAATATTTAATCATATTTTCTTATTTGATAAAAAACTCGTAAGTGTACTGTAAAGTACGTACTTTACAGTACACTTACAGTACACTTACAGTACACTTATTTGATGAAAAACTCGTAAGTGTACTGTAAAGGAGGTACTTTACAGTACATTTACAGTACACTTACAGTACACTTATTTGATGAAAAACTCGTAAATGTACTGTAAATAACGTACTTTATTCTTTTTTATTATAATTTTTTTCTCTGATAATAAGCACACTGCACAACCCAGCTAACAATACCTGGATATAAGCTCTGCACAACCCAGCTAACAATACCTGGATATAAGCTCTGCACAACCCAGCTAACAATACCTGGATATAAGCTCTGCACAACCCAGCTTACAATACCTGGATATAAGCTCTGCACAACCCAGTTAACAATACCTGGATATAAGCTCTGCACAACCCAGCTTACAATACCTGGATATAAGCTCTGCACATCCCAGCTAGCAATACCTGGCTATAAGCTCTGCACAACCAAGCTTACAATACCTGGATATAAGCTCTGCACAACCCAGCTAACAATACCTGGAAATAAGCTCTGCACAACCCAGCTAACAATACCTGGCTATAAGCTCTGCACAACCCAGCTAGCAATACCTGGCTATAAGCTCTGCACAACCAAGCTTACAATACCTGGATATAAGCTCTGCACAACCCAGCTAACAATACCTGGATAAAGCTCTGCACAACCCAGCTTACAATACCTGGATATAAGCTCTGCACAACCCAGCTAACAATACCTGGATAAAGCTCTGCACAACCCAGCTTACAATACCTGGATATAAGCTCTGCACAACCCAGCTAACAATACCTGGATAAAGCTCTGCACAACCAAGCTTACAATACCTGGATATAAGCTCTGCACAACCCAGTTATCAATACCTGGATATAAACTCTGCACAACCCAGCTAACAATACCTGGAAATAAGCTCTGCACAATCAGCAGGAGATTTCACAATTGCACTTTTAACTACACAGTGTACAATACTTGAAATATCTTCATTTATAAAGTTGTAATTTCTGTTTGTCTGTTCGTTTGTATGTCCGATCGTAACTCATGAACCCATAGACTGATTTAACTTCAATTTTGACTCAAATTTTGATTGGGGAACTCGGAAGAACCACAGGATTTTTCTTAGCTTTGTTTTGAGATTGTCAGTTGAGTGGGTCCACGAATAAATCTGCGAAAATGTCTTGTTATTGTTTGAAGATTTTAGAGGATAAAATGCTGCAAACAATTAAAACCACAGGGCTTGATTAACTTTGTTTAATGGCGGAGATCAAACATTTTTTTTTTTACAGATAAGGAAGAATGATTTTCTGTTTCATCTCTATTTTATAATATTTTCACATTTTCGTTAAATAGACATAGGAGAGAAATTTTCCTTTTTTAGCTTGCTTATTTTTAACTATTTTGTATTTAAACTTTGATCCAAAGGAAATTAAGATTCTGCCACAAACTTCGGCTTTCTAATCCCAATATTATTGCAATTTTAAATTGTTGCCTACTTTTTTTGTGGAAAAAAAGATTGACGGTGAAGTATAAAATTTAGCATTTTGATACTTTCGATCAGGTAAAATAATTGGAAATCAAAAATGAATCTTAAGTTTCACAGATCCCATGATAAGTGGGTCACCCTGTATTTCTGATGAATCATATATAAGTTTGTATTGTTCCTAAAGGAACGAATATTCCAGCAATACTTCCAAAACCATTTGTGAGTCCCATGATAGTTCCAGCTCTAAACAAAGAATGTATATTAGCTGTAAAACTAAAGAAATATTTCCGTTCCAGAGTTAATTTGATTTGCACTGTAAACCAATATTGACACGGTCTTATGCAAAAATGATCAGTATAGTTGGCCAATTACTCCTTTGAAACTTAAGCTAGAAAGAAGTGCATTTTTATAATGCATAACATGCATACGGGCTACACAAAAGTATTAGTATAATAGTATGACTAACTTTCAGAGTTAATCATCAGTGTTTGGTGTCTGAACTATACGCCCCTGGAAATCACAATCACCACTTTTCAAGGAAGGGGCCTCCCGAGCGGTTTATTCACAAACTAGATATATACAGAGTACAGACTTCTCATAGGCTAAGCAAGCCTATAGTTGTCCTGGCACGAAATGCTACTTTTCCACAAAAGGTTTTGACTGTCATCTAACGGCAACTTGTTGCATTTAATACCCATTCAGGGGTTAAGTTTTATAATTTTTAAAGAAATACTCTAACTTTTTACATAAAACATATACTTTATGAATTTACTATTTTTTTGAAGGTTTTATAATTTGTAACCAAAGGATCTAGAATACGGACATCTGTTTATAGGTTGGTACACAATGGAACCTGCTGTGGGAAATATCGCATATTCTAGCCTTTAAAGATCTCTCTCTCTATCTCCCTTATTGTTATGTTTTAGATATGAAAGGAACCAACCAGAGGGGGATATCAATATTCTAGAAGTCTTCAAGTCTCACACCAATAAAAAAACAAGTAATTGAACATTTATATTAAAGAGGAACAAAATAAAGGAAATAATGATAAGTTTCTCCTTTGGCTAGATACCTCCTTTGGCTAGATACCTCCTTTGGCAAGATACCTCCTTTGGCTAGATACCTCATTTGACTAGATACTGTAAAAGTGTTACCTATTCTTGTGATAAGCAACCTTTTATAAAATTGCTGATATGAATCGCAATTTGACTATTTTTAATGTTTAAGATAAATAAACGAAGTACGACAATAAATCATATAGTTTTTGATGAGTTTTTGAATAAAAGATTTTACAAAGAAGATTCCAGTAGCTTTGGCTCGCCCAAAAGCAAATAATGCAGGATTCAAAGGTTAAACAAAAACAGTTTTGAGGCCTATATTCTGTTCTAATAGTTTAATCAATAAGCCCTGCATTAAAGGCTGCCACGCATTTTATGGCGGACAAAGTATTTCTGAATAAGTTTTAATGTTTCTTTGTTATGAACTAAAATTCTATATTTCTCTTTTTGTTCTCAAGTATATACCATTCAAATGTTTAATCCGTAAGGTTTGAACCTTTAAATGGGTAACTTTAATCCTACTCAGAGACTGTTCCTCTCCGTTTTAAGAGTATTCCAATCCTTCTTAACTACTTATATATATATATTTAACACAGAGGTTTTCGTTTAGCTATGTATTTCAGTCCAAGGGAAAAATGTTGACAATATTAATCATATAAATGATTAGTTAAAACGAAAATATAATTACGAATATAGAACTTAATATATAACAATATTTGAATAAAAGTATAAACAATCTGATTTTACAAAATATATATATATCTATCTTTACTTAATACTATTGGATTTCAACCTCTATGAATCAGTTTAGGGCGAATAGATAAACGCGAATTACGGATATTGACAAAACAAATAGTTACAAATAAAATGATTTATTACCTAGATTTTCCAATTTGTTTCTTCAAAGATACACGTCAAAATCACTGGGTCATTTTACGATAAATACAGATCTGAGAGCAAAGATCTAGGATTCAAATCCAACTAACTAACCCGAGTCAGAGTCTGTCCTGGCTTTTTATAGTAAACCATGATAGATTGTTCTAGAACATTCTCGAAGCTGTTGCGCTTGTTTTTTGGTGCTGCTTGATAATTTATTCTAGAACTTTCTTGAGAAAAAAGTTCTCTGACACGTATTCTTTGCGTGCATCTTTTCTTCTAGCTGGTTCTAGAAGTTTTAGATGTTTCTACGATCTTTTACCCAGGGTTGTTTAACCTTGAATCTCGATAATTGATGATGGGTATACAGGCTAGATAGTTCCCAGATTCAAGGCCAATTATATCTTTATCATCAATAATTAATTATAAAGAGAAACATAGTTAGAATTAAAACTTGAGGTTTTACAATACCTCCTTTGGCTAGATACCTTCTTTGACTAGATACCTCCTTTGGCTAGATATCTCCTTTGGCTGGATACCTCCTTTGGCTAGACACCTCCTTTGGCTAGATACCCCCTCTTGCTAGATACCTCCTTTGGATAGATACCTCCTTTGGCTATAAACCTCCTCTTGCTAGATACCTCCTTTGGCTAGACACATTCTTTAACATGGCATCCTCTCCAGCAACATATCCCATCCAGTAACATATCTCCTCCGATAACATATCCCCTCCAGTAACATATCTCTCCAGCTCCATATCTCCTCTGGCAGCATATCTCCTCCGGCAACATATCTCCTCTGTACAACATATCTCCTCCAGCAACATATTTTGTTTTTCCCACAGCTCCGACCCAACCAAGTAGATTTCGACTGAATGCTTCTTAGATTGTCCATCCTACTGTAGCGCCAGCGATAATTTATGATCTTTTAACGGAGATCTCAGGGTTAAAAATAGCCAAACCCTGATTGTATATATCTATAAATAGAATAATGCCAGCCTGGAACCCGAGTTCATCTACCTGACGCTAGTTAGGCCTAGGGTGTTAGCAGTGAAGGTATGATAGACATTGACCCAGGGAGTTTGGTAAAGCTTGGGATTTCCAAGCTCAACCTGGCAGGTTAACTTGTACCCGGAGAACCGATAGTTGGTGATCAACCATCTCAGCTAGAGGTTCCTATGACAGAAATCAAGATCTGTAGCTCAATCCTCTTTGCTTCGATATTATTTTATCATTAGTATCGCTATCAGTTTGTATTCTTACACTAGTATTTGTACTGTATATCGTTTAATATCAGGTGAGTTCTTCATTATTTAATATGTTTTTGGAGTAAAATATATCTCCCGATTTTGATTTATTCATATACAAGACTACCACTATGAAAGTAAAAATTGATAAATCAAATTACCTTAAAATGTGAATTAAAATTAAAAAAATGAAAATAAAGTTTTGAAGAAGAAGAAACATACCTTTTATTTTTTCTATTGACCATATATGAAAGCATTACAGTGGAGGAAATAGGGGGGGAATCCTTATTTACGCCCCTGGAAAGCAATTAAAGATAAGTACAACCACTGATGACATTTAAGCAATCTTTTTCAGTATCCAATTTTCCTAACATTTCTTTTTCCATTGGAAGAATGATTATAATAATTATTTTCCCATCAGAACATGCAACAGAAATAGATGTCCAGGAGCTGGGAACTTTAGAATGCTGGATATCAAGATTAATTCTTGATCTTTTTCTTAACCTCAAGACTAACCTAATCTTACAGAAAAATCAACAACACGTTTATAAATTAGAGAGTCCCCCCGTTTTAGTATGTTAATCTTACATCAGTTTGGGAACTCTAATACTTTCTCACCTTGGAAACCGGGCATTAGGGGGTTTTGAGCGGCAGAACCCGACCATTACGTCTAATGCTCGAGTCGAGTTCTATGAGGCAGAACCCGACCATTACGTCTAATCCTCGAGTTCTACGAGGCAGAAAGTGAGCATTAAGCCTAATGCTCACTTTCTATCAGGTAGAATAAAGAGGATTCTTACTTCCTTAATTCCAATAATCTGGTACCACTAATGGAATATTCAAAGTAAAAGACAACATATTTGCAATTACAGTTTTGAATAAGGGGGATAAATCAGTGGTTTATACGAAAATGTTAGAATTTCTATTAGGCAGAAGCCAGAAAACAAGCATTAAGCCTTATGATTGCTTTCAATAAGGCAGAAAACGAGCATTTAGCCTCATGCTCGGTTTCTATAAAGCAGAAACCGCCCATTACCCTCTAATGCTCGGTTTCAACAATTGGCGGAAACCGCCCATGACCCCAAAATGCTCGGTTTTCAGGGCGAGATAGTGTTTCAGAACCCCAACTGTAAACGGCGCGCAAACTTTCAAATTTATCAGCTTCTGATATGCGACTCTGATTGGTTGAATTTGATACACTTTTTAGTATACAAATACAATATTAGTTAAGTCTTGAGATTAAGAAAAAGAGAGGATCAAGCATTAACCTAGTTGTACAACATTCTAAAGTTCCCAGCTCAGCATACTCTTGTATAATTGTGGATATCGAGGTCGATGCATGATCTCAATCTTTTGTTAATCTAAAGATAAAGGAATTGAGTGTTTATCACTAACTCAAATACTATCATCCCTCCCTATATATTTGATATCTACGCTATGATGGTGTAAACCTTTGTGCTAAAAACTAGATTAATTTAGTTCTTATTAGATATTCCTGAAGGAATAACTGAAATTAATAAACTAAGCATTGATCCTCAAATTAAAAGCGTCCACAGTGAATATCGAGATCAATCAATGGGGATAATGACCAAGACAAACGTTCCCAGCTGTAACTTATAAATTACTAATTCATTTGTATCTTTTGTGGTCCAATGTACTAGGTTCAAATTTCTCGAAAGGTCAAAAGGATAAAAGCACTAAATCATTTTATGTTAATTGCCATGGATATCTCGAGTTCAAGAGCGTTTTGTTTCTAGATTAGCGCCATCTCATTCAAAAGTTTCAAACTTAGTATTAACATTAATACATCTACATAGAACTCGCGATAAAATCTTAAAATACCAAATTAACTCTGATTTTTATCATGTTATATATTTTCCTTTTTTGTGATCTGACCCCGGCCGAAGTTTTGACATTTGAAATAAAGCTCGAAATTTTCAATGGACAAGTGAACTGTCAACTATATAATCAAATTCCTTTAACTCAATTGTTGATCTAAAGCCATCATAGCAAGACAAAAATGAATTTAAATAACCTGAACTTTTTAGTTAGAACTGATTTACGATGTGAGGTACTCCTCAAAGGCATTTTTCTAAAGGTGACTTTCCATGGACAATTTCCCAAGTGGAAACTTTCCAAATGTTCAACTTCCCAAAGGTTAGGTTAGGCCTTCCGAGGCACTTCAGGGTGCAATGGGGACCGAGTGCTGCGGCTAGGATGGGCCAGGGGGCTGAGCGCTGCGGCTGGAACAGACAAGGGACCGGGCGCTACAGCTAGGACGTCTGGTTTGTCGATGACTTCATCATTTTTAAAGACATTCCAAAGGAAGTAACTTACTTCGTCATGGAACACACAATTTAGTATTGAAATACTCTAAGAATGGATTAAAAAGTAAACAAAAAGTTTCTATCTCTATGGCGTAAAATTTTTTAAAATTATTGGTCACCTGTTTGGAGCTATAGTTAGTCCATTGAGAGAGTGCCCAGCGTACAGTGCGCCATTAAACCCGTATGCTGATCATTATAAATATTTAAATTTTAAGTATTATAAATCTAAATTAAGATTTTTTACACAAACTCTGATTTTCTATTCCTATATCTTTGCAACTCAACGTAGTAAATATTGTAAATACATTTAGATAAAATAATCTATGTTTGAAATATCAAGTGTTCACATTGTGATTCGCAGAAATGCATCACTTGCCACTAATTGAACCTTTTTAACGATATCTACAAAGTGCATATATATACATTACAATGTCAGTGAAAAAACAGGTTTCATGCTTTACCAAAAAAAGTACAACAACAACAAATTTAGAAAAAAATTTGGTAGCATAAAAAAGATAGATTACACAAATGTTAAGTATACATAAAACGAATAAAAAAATCATATTTTATTTCTTTATTTTTTTAATATTATTATTTGTTAATATCTTAAGAACGTATCTTATTAAATAGCTAAAGATATTGCTTAAAAGTATAAATATATAGAAATGAAATGTAATTATCAAATAGATATATACCTATCGTCATAACAGCCACACAGATATAGGGTTCTTCAGTAATAAATGAAAGTCCCACTAAACCTAAATTAACATATAAAAATAATTTATAAAATATTTCTGAGATCATGATTTATCTTTTTATTATGATAAAATTGATAATTTTAATGGATTTTTTATTTATTCATTTTATATGCAGGAGGGAAGGAAGGCCAGCCACAACAACTTCTCGTCCGAGCCATATTCTAATCATTTTTTCGTCCTAACCACCTCGAAATCCTTGTTCTTCGATTATTATGTGTTGAAAAGTTTCTAATTCTGGTAGATAAAACTATTTTTAACAAATCTGGCAACGCTAGGGCATAAAAAATAGAAAGACTAAATAATTGCAATGATTAAATCATGTTTGAAACTTTAGAGACATGAGAATGATGTCAAACTTTATTTAGCTAAAACCTAAAACTCTTCTGTCTCCGTAATGCATACCTCTGCCTATAATTTTTTCCATGGAACCACACCGGAAAAAAATCCATGGTTTTCACTATAATTAACAAAAAAAGAATAAAGTTCTATAATTAACCTCGAAATTATTTGCAGCATTCTACACCAGGAATATCTGAAAATGCGCGTAATAAAGGTGTACATTTTTAAGGACATAGAACTCGAAAACTTCAATTCAATTGAAAATATTTTTTCAATTTACTAAATTTCAATATTTTATTTATGGCCTAACCTGGCCCGATTCTTAAAAATAGTTTTGTCTGGGATGACTAGACACTTTTAAAAAATAACAGTGGAAGGACGAGGATTTAGAGGTGGCTCGGACGAGAAAATGAGGAGAATGTGGCTCGGAATAGAAATTGTTGTGGCTGGCCTTCCTTCCCTCTGTGAAGTGTTAGAAAATATGGGATTTTTTCATTATCTATGAAATAATTTTCTTTAAAAAGCCGTTTTAACTTTTAACCTTCCACATTAGGCCTAATATTCGCAAATGTGCTCGGTCCCATTTCCAAATATATTAATTGCTTTCTCACTCTACCAAACATTGTTTTATTGCACAAAAAAGTGTCACTGCCCATAAATCGGGATTTGTTGTTGAAACATTTTACTCTAAAATGTCGTTTTAACCTTCAAAATGTACTCGAAATGTAGTCAGTCCTCTCTATAGTCAGTCCTCTTTTCCTAAGATTTAAAAAAAAAAATTTCGTCATTTTTTTCAAAAATCCCCCATTGTATCATTACAAATGCAAAATTTATTCTATTCTGCCGTATGAAACGTGGAAATGAAATTATAAA